TTCTTTAAGCTATAGCTATAATTATTAGTATAATAAAATAGCTAGAGGAAATAGTAGCTAAAGTCTACTAAATTACTTTAGAATTCTAGCTAGAGGAAATAAAGGAAGAAATCTATAAAACTACTTTCTCTACTATTTTAAAGGGGATTATACTTAAGTAGGATATCCCTATCCTATAAAACTATAAAGAAGTAGTAGGAAATAAGGAATAAGGAAACCTATAGAAGGAAGCTATTAAAAAAGAATTAAATTCTCTAAGAAGTAATTATATATAAAAAGAAACTATTACTCTAAAAGGTATAAACCTTATAAGTTCTAAGTAGGTATTTATAGTTAAGAGATTAGTAAGTAGTGCACTTAATAAGCTAAAAGTAAGGCTTATTATAAAAGGATTTTCCTAAAAGTATAAAGTTAATTTTAAGGAAATATTTACTCTATTAGTTAGATATAAGACTCTTAGGACCTTTATAGTAGTAGTCTATAAGAATAACCTTAAGCTATATCTAGTAGATATAAATAGTGCATTTATAAATAGTTACTTAAAGGAAGATATCTTTATAGTAGTACTTAAAGAGGTTAATATTACCTTAGAATATATCTTAAAAATCCTAAGAAGCCTATATAGACTAAAGTAAGTAGTAAGAGACTAAAATTAACTCTATATATTAAAGCTTCTTAGTCTTAAATTTATTTAGTCTAAGGTAGATCTATACCTTATATACTATTATAGAAAAGAACTTATAATTATAATTTATATAGATAATATTCTAATTACTAGAAGATTAATAGATTTTATAAACTAGTTTAAGAAAAGTTTTAGAAAGATCTTTAATATTAAGGATCTTAGGGAACTATTAAGGATTCTAAGGATAAATATAACTAGAGATAGGAAATATAGAACCTTAAAGCTTAACTAAGAATACTATATCCTTAAGAGCCTTTAGAAACTTAGGATAGATATAAAGTTATTAAAGCTAACTCTCTTACTAATAGATAGTTATAAGGGACTAGAAAAATCTAGCCTAGATAATAAAAGATATAGTAGGGAAGAGTACTAAATAATAATTAGGACTTAGATATAGCCTATAATTATTATAAGGCTAGATATTATATTTACTATTAGAAAGCTAAGCTCCTTTTCTAGTAATCCTTTTAAGAAATATATAAGAGCCCTAAAGAAAGTCTTAAGATACCTTAGGTTAAACCTAGATCTTAGAATTACCTTCTTAAGCGATAAACTAGAATTCCTAACTAGATACTTAGACTTAGATTTTACTATAAATAAATCTAATAGGAAATCTGTTCTTAGAAATGTTTTTATACTTTATAATAAACTAATCTTATAAATAAGCAAGAAGTAGAAATCTATAGCTACCTTAATAATAGAAGCTAAGTTTATAGTAATAAATGCCTATATAAAATAATTATAGTTCCTCTTATCCCTTCTTAGAGAAATAGGTTAAGGAAATTTAGTTAGATTATCCCCTTTTTAACTAAAGATTAAGGCTAGAGAGGAAATGTTAAATAAGCTTAGACTAGTTCGTCTTTTTAAAGATAACTAGGTTTACCTAATACTAGTAAAAGATACTTATATTTATAAAAGGTTAAAGCATATTAATATTATATATAACTTTATTAGAAGACTTTAATAGGAAAAGAAAATTTCTATAGAATATCTTCTAATAAAAGAGATAATTGTAGATAGGTTAACTAAGCTATTAAATAGACCTAGCTTTTAGACTTTTATAACCTAGTTAAGACTCTAGTAAATAAGAGGAGAATAAAGGGTAAAAAGGGTAGTATCTCCTAAACTAGGTTTTAGTCTAGGAGATATTATATACTAAGTTAAGGAATTATACTAAGATAGTAGCTAAAATAGAACTATACCTCTAGGCTATAGAACTACCTTTCTATATTTAATAGAATCTATAAAAATATAAGGAAATATATTTAGCCCTTTCTTCCCTAAGTAGGAGTATTAAAACCTAATAGATTTAGAAAGGGAAGAGAGTTTAGAGTAGAATCTACTCTAAGGTAATTCCCTAGTTAGGTAATTAGGATACTAAGGCTAAAGATATATACTTATTCTTAATATTTAGTTCTTAAAATAATTAATTTAATTAATACACTTATTTAGTTCCTACTTTAAGTGCTATGCACCTTATAATAAATTAGTTTAAGATTAGAGTCTCTTATCTTACCCTTTGCCGCTATATCCTACTACCTCCCTAGCCTCTAGTTTTGGATTTTTAGTTAGACAATTTTAATAATAGAACTTATAGTTTATAATAAGTAGTAGATAGGCCGCTAAGATTCGGAGACGATACGTATCTAACTACTAGTAGTATATACTAGCGTAGCCTATTTCCGCTATAGGTAAGTAATAGTAGCGGGCTATAGAAACTCTATAGTAGGTGTTATATATAAGAGTATATTTTCAGTCCTTCGCTACTACCTCTTTCGTACGAACCTCGACTAATTAAGGATCGATCTTATATCTATAGTAGACAAACAAACCCTTATGTTGCTTAGCGGAGTCGCTGTATAGGCACTAAGCTATGCCCATCCGACCTAATTAACGGAATCGGCGAATCGATATAATAATATCCAGCGGCGGCGGCATGTGGCCAGCGTTAGTAGCCACGGCAAGGCCTTTGACGTCTCCATAGATTGGGCATATTAGAGCAACCCACAACTTCACGCTACCGACGAAACCCAGACTTCTCGAGCTAGAACAGCACTTGGCGGAATCAGTAAATTCAATGGTAAGGAGTATTGCCCAGCGTACACGAAAGTTTCTCGCTGCCGACGAATTGTATGAAGGCATAGCTTACACGCGAGCAGAGGTGAGTCAACACGGCGCATGGCAGCTTTTGAGCAAAAATATCTTAATGAAGCGCCTTCCTACCATAGTACAAACGGCGCGAGGGCTTCCAATCCCCAGGCGACAGGCCGCGCGCCTTGGGAGCCGACCATGACCCTTATTACCGTACCCTGATTTAGCTTGAGAGGCCAGCATAGATCATTCACTCACCACATCGTGCCCACCTCGCTCATAGATGATGCAACATTAATCCAGAGCCTCGATTGCAGAAAACGGGGATATTCTGGACAGGACAGCTAGCTCAGGAGGCAAAACGTCCCTGCGCCGGTAGTGTCCATCATACAACAATGAGGAAAGTACATCCTCGATCCAAGGCTTTAATAAGAAGGTTCATAGCGACGACTCCATTGACTCTTATAGCTTTTCCTTGCCATGACCATACTCGTACATCTTTGCAACATCGTCCACGACCTTCACAAGCTCTGCAGTCATAGTAATATACGGCGAATGACCCGTCGCCAACTCCACGACCTCAGCCTTAGTGCCCGCCTTCTCCATCTTATCCAGAATACGTTGTTGATAATCAGGTCGAAGAGTCATATCCTCGCTGGTACGCACATAAGTCACAGGGACATGCTTCCAAGCCTCGAACTGGACTTTATCATTCATGCAATCAAAATTGGCCCTTGAAAGCGTCTTCTCCAATTCCTCGGCCTCCTCATCCGGAATCCCATTGAATAGGAGCTTCTTGGCGTTTCCAGTAAAACAGGTTCCGTCGTCGGCAATGTCGATTGCCAAGGGGATTCTATCCTCGTTGCCCATTTCCCGGACAATGTCAAGGACTGAGAAGCCTTTAGGGTGGATGTGAGCAGCTACACCAATGAGATGAACCACTCCGCCTGGTTTGCCCGCAGACTTGCGTGAAGTTATATCGAGATTCTCGATGGCGTTGCAGCCTACTACGCCGCCGTAGGAATGCATTACCAGGATGACGCGACATCTGCAAGCGCCAAACCACGAATTGCGGCATGGTCAATATCGTGACGTCTAGAAAGATGGTGATGGCAGCCATGGAGAGTCCGAAGGCGAAGATGTTGATGTGTGTGCTGGGTATGTTCGGATTCCACTGGCCATTGATGGGAGTATAGGCGAAGATTTCGCCAAATATGATGGTGATATAAAAGGCCGCCAGTAAACCGAGAACTGGCCAAGTAAAGGCCTTGAACGTTGGCGTTGGGAAGAAGCGTCGGTACATCAAGACAATGGCGACCTTGGAAAGGGTGATGGATGCGTTGTAGACCATGTTATTGGCAAGAAGTTGCTACGGGAGGCACACAGTTAGAGTGATACTTTATCATATCCTATATTTCACGAACCCTTTGGTATGCCACAAGGTGAGGCGTATCCAGCTCCTCCACGGGGTAACCAGCCATTCCTATTGTTGCCGCGAGAACGTTGGTAGCCACGAAGGCCAGAGCGCAGACGTAGGCAGCCAGAACGAACCAGTCATCGAGCCCGAGTTTGGAGGATATCCGCCGTGACAGGAACCTCAAGATTATCGTAAGACCCGATAGAAAGGTGAAGACGGCCGTGACCGCGATGACGATGACAAAGTCGCGACTGATAGGATGATCGTACAGGCCTGCCATTTCGAGTGGAATTGTGTATAGCCAGGCGATTGAGGAACCATGCGTACAGACGCGACTTGTCAGGATAGTTTTGACGAAAGTCGAAGAGCATGGTCCTGACTGGCAAAAGTCGAACGAATCCTTCAATGGGCTGTCCTGCACGAAGGACTCTTCCGCCTACGAGTACTTCGCACCAGTGCGTCCTTCGCGCAGACCTAATCCAGAAACTCCACTCCAGTCGCACTTCCTCGAGACTTTGTAGGATTTTGATACTTTTGTTGGCCGTCGCATCCAGGATGATCAATGATGCCATATCGAAACGCCGTTCCCGTTTCGGAAGTGATCTTTCAAGAGGGCCATCCCACGTGTGACGTACGAAACCTATGCCTCCACACGAGGTCTCCATATTGGTGAGCTATATACCACGAACAGGTCAAGTGCCGCACACGGTGCTAATAATGGCTTCAGCTAAGTGGTCCAAGGACTCTCCTTGCGTGGGCACTCCATGTGCCGCATCGTGCTTGACCTCGACACGTTTGCCTTCTACACTCATCTGTACAAGCTGGGCGCTTTCGTGCATGTACTCAGTGTCGTTAGTGCCCCACGCATGGACGGTTGGGATCCGAATGCTGTTCCGACTGATCTCTCCACTCAAGAGCTGGAGTCGCCCTGCTTGAAGTTCTTCCACATCATACGGCAGGGTCGCACATATGAATATTGCGCATCGAAACAATGCACGGGAAGCGTCTTCAATCAGCAGCGTCGCGGCAAGTGCAGCGCCCAAGGAAAACGCCAGGACCGCATCGAAGGGTCCGTTTTCCGTCGCGTACGCCGCAAGATCTCGCACGGCCTGATATGCACTTTCTCCTGACCCGTCGTGATACGAAAAGTACATTTGGTCATTGCCGAAGACCTCGCTGATACCGGGCAGCGCGGGCCATGGAAAGGAGCCATCAAGAAATTCGTACTCGAAGTTTGCACCGAGGCGATAGCGAAGAGCCGCTGGTGGATTCATTGTGAGTGCCATCATCACCAGAGTAGTGGCTGGCTCTTTCACTCACCCGTTTGTGCCTCGAACACCTGCGTGAAAGGTCAGTACATGGCGAGCCGTGCGATGAGTAAAAGGGGTGCTGGCGTGGTCATACTTCACTGTTGGTCCCAATTCCATGGAGACAGAGGACTCTGTACTTTGGCGATGCCGCGACATCTCGTTGCTCTTTCATTCTGCGGGCTGGGTATACCACGAGACACACCAACGGCCTACGAATCGTTTGCCGGTTGGTTGATGCATCATTTGAATTTGGAAATGATCCAAAGTAAGACGGGAAGGAAAGATCAATCTAGTGATGATGTCAGCAGATCCACAATATACATGTACATGTACCTTAATACTGGGAGCTGCACTTTGGCTCCATCTTCAAACGTGGGTACCTCGAGACATCCTACAACATATCACTCAAACAAAGCTTTGATTCTTTGCATTTATATGATAAAAGTGGAATCCAAGTCTGCAGTCCTTTGCTATCGTTGCCCGTTCTTACACAACGCAATCGTTGGGACTTGCAGAAATGGCGCCTTCCGACTATGTCTTCAACAGGGACTATCTCGATAACAATCGGTACGCGAGCTCGTTTGGTTCAGTCTCAACTGGTCCGACTTCTAATGAACAACAACTATAGCATCAACTTACAGCACTACCTCTGGCGGGAAATATTCGGCTATCTGATTCACCCCAGCATTCCGACAGGGGCCCCTGACCTCAAGATCGCAGACGTCGGCACTGGTACTGGGCAAGTAGTTATGAGAGGGTCACAGGCTCCCACGCTTACTGACTGTTAATGATGGCAGAATCTGGCTAACTGAACTGGCGGACCGTCTGCCTTCGGCACAGCTAGATGGTCTGGACGTCTCATTCGATGCTCTTCCTCCTTGCAAGTGGCTACCACAAAACGTYAGGCGACTTCACTGGGATGTGACCCATGATGTGCCTCCAGAGCTTGAAGGACAGTATGATCTGGTGCACATTCGTCTCTTCGCTTTTGTGCTCCTCAACGACGACCTTCCTGGAGTACTGGAGCGACTGGCAAAGCTTCTAAGTGTGTTCTAAACAGCATTGGGGCTTGCCAGAGTACGATATGACCTGCTGACACCGGCGTCACAGAACCAGGGGGATACCTCCAATGGGATGAGCCTGACATAGCATCCTTTCGCATAGAAACCACCGACTCGACCATCTCCACAGAAGCGTTGAAGCAGCTGGTGGAACGAATGCAACCCCAAGATGTTCGTTTCAGTCCCACGTGGATCGCCCGGCTGCCGGATTTGTTCAAGAACGCCGGCTTTGAATGCGTGCAGTACGACGTCCGGGAAGCTAAGCCTTGGCTTGCACTCGCCATGCACGAAGATAACTTGATGATTCACGAGGTCATAGCGGCCAAGTCCAAGGACGCCGCGTTTTAACCAAGAGCTCCCTGAGTTGCTTTCTAGAGTTGCGGCAGAGACGAGACAGGGTGCTACGTGGGCATTTACAAGATACGCTGTTGTGGGGATGAAGTCACGCGAGAGATAGCAAATCGTGCTGTACAGAGAGAAGTTTGATCATTGATTGTACTGTCATGTCCTTGTATGATACTGACACCAGACATTGGAGATGTCGGCCTAATTTCTGATCGTGCCAGCCAAAATCACACCATGTTATCGCACGCCAAAGCAGAAAATGGAGGATTAGGCCTAAAGCCTGTGGAAATGGACTGAGTTGAAGTGGACTGTGTATTGTATGTGATTATGTACGTTATTGTCAGGAACAGCCTTATATCCACAGGAGCCGTCCACAGCTCCTTCTCTAAAGCTGACAGACTGGTCTAGCTTTGCAGATCTCGTCCGATCTGCCGAAGGATGGTTTGAGTTCAGGGCGGATGTGAATCCTCTCGTCATTGGGATCATCCCGACATAGGTTCACGCTATTGCAGAGTTGCGATGCTTCATGTGGGGATTACGGTGTACCCGCTCTGCAAATCCCGCGTGGGTATACCGTACCACGGTTCCGTGGGCGCGTAGGCACGCACGTACGASATGTCGACGCGTTGGAGATGAGGGCTGCAAAGGCTGTGTTGTCGTCAACATCATCAGGAACGCTTTACTTCAGGCGCGGCCAGCAGCAATATCCTCAATGGATGGTAATGTCCTTACAACTTGCTGAGGAACTCATCGCTCGTTGCCCTTTTGGTGGCTAGGCTTGCCCGTCATGCTGCCGGACGTAACATCAGACAGCCACATGGAGACTGGTGAATCTGAGCAACAAGTCCCAATAGCAGTCGTGGGATACAGCCTAGAGTTTCCTCAAGATGCCACAGACCCAGAGGCCTTCTGGCAAATGATTGTCGAGGGGAGGAACGCCAGCACGGAATTTCCGTCCGATCGCATCAATATTGACGCCTTTTACCACCCCGACCCTACGCGGAACTCTTCGGCAAGCACCCATTTTCATCCGTCAAATCCATGGCCCTGCGCTGATGTCTCGGACTCTTAGATAGCTGTTCGATGTGGTGCATTCGTAAAGGAACCTCTAGGCGCTTTTGATGCCCCGTTCTTCTCCATCACGCCTGCTGAGGCCGCTTGCATGGACCCCCAGCACAGGAGGATGCTCGAGACCGCATATCATGCTCTGGAAGACGGTATATTCTGCCATCCAAGTTTATACTATTCGAGACTAGCCAGTTGCGTACCAAGCTGGCATTACGTTGAGTGAATGCTCCGGCTCCATAACTTCGGTGTACACAGGTAGCTTCACCGACGATTACCGAAGCGTGATGCAGCAAGACTTTGAATCCGAACACAAGCATGCCGCTACAGGCATAGCCTTCTCGATGCTGGCGAATCGCCTCAGCTGGTTCTACAACTTCAAAGGCGCGTCTATGAATCTTGATTCCGCATGCTCCAGCAGCCTTGCCGCACTACATTTTGCCTGTCAAGATCTCTGGACGGGATCCTCTGAAATGGTAAGTGGCCTTGCAGTCTTCAGTGATACTCCCAACATCGATCCGGCGCTGACGAATGCTGGATACAGGCAATGGTGGGTGGTGCGAATTACATGTATCACCCAGACTTTATGAGGTTCTTGTCCAATCTCAACTTTTTGTCACCCGATGGACGCTGCTGGAGTTTTGATGAGCGTGCTAATGGTTATGCCCGTGGTGAGGGCTGCGCGGTCTTGGTACTCAAACGCCTGCCTGACGCTATTGCGGCCGGTGATAACGTGAGGGCGATTATTCGCACAACGGGCCTCAATCAGGATGGGAGAACGCCCGGGATCACGGTGCCAAATGAGGATGCGCAAGTCGAGCTCATTCGGAACACATATGCCAAAGCTGGGCTTTCTATGGAGCCTACGAGGTATTTTGAGGTAAGATTGGATAATGTTAAATGTGTTGGCGATCCTTGTGACTACTGACATGTTGCAAAGGCACACGGAACTGGAACAGCGGTTGTGGGTAATCCCCAGTATTGAGAGCATAGAGCAGTCTCCAGTTCTCCACAACATCCAAAACCCATGCTGACTTTTATAGGGTGATCCTACGGAAGCCAGTGCAATCGCTCGAGCCTTCGATCATGTTAGAACCAGAGAAGATCCGCTGTACGTGGGCGCCGTCAAAGCCAACGTCGGACATCTTGAGGGGTGTAGTGGTCTTGCCGGTGTAATCAAGGCTCTCCTCGTCCTCGAAAAGGGGTATATCCCACCAATCGCCGGCCTTGAAACGCTGAACAAGAAGTTGACACCTGAGAAGGGGAACATTCGATTTCCCCAAGTCGGTCTAGCCTGGCCGTCGACGGGTCTTCGTCGAGCATGTGTCAATTCGTTCGGCTTTGGGGGGACCAATGCCACCGCGGTGCTAGACAATTGCGACTACCACTTGAGCATCGTCAGAAACCGACATGCCAATCGCGGTTCATTACAAGACTCGGATAGTACATCATCAGCTCCAACTTCCAACGGGGTCCACAGTAGCGACGACTTGGATCCTATCCCTGCAGAACACACGAATGGAGATTGTTCAACTCTAGCACGTCCCTCGGCGACCCCTAGGCTACTGCCATGGTCTGCGTTCGATGAGCAAAGCGCAAAACGGCTGGGCGAGATGTACCTCAGCCGTTTCAATGACTTTAAAGACACTCTCGACGATGCTGCTTACGTGCTATCACAACGACGGACACTCTTTCCCTGGCGAGGTTTTGCTGTATTGGACAGGCTCAGCAACATCGAAATGGCTCGCCTCCCCTCACCAGCCCCCAAAAAGGCTCTCGAAAATCGCCAAGTCGCATTTGTATTCACAGGGCAGGGCGCCCAATACCAAGGAATGGGATCGCAGCTGACACATTTCAACGTCTTCTCCGCCAGTCTGCAACACTCACAACGAATACTGGATGCGTGTGGTTGTCCTTGGTCGGTTTTCGATTTCCTCCACATGGACACTCACAGCCGTGTCATTGATGAGCCAGAATATGYGCAGCCAGTGACCACTTGTCTCCAGCTTGCGCTGGTAGATTTGTTCAGATCTTTCGGCATCACTCCAAGTCTGGTCATGGGACACTCATCGGGCGAGATATCTGCCGCTTACGCCGCCGGCGCTCTGAGTCAATCTGCCGCTGTAAGGATTGCGTATCATCGTGGCTTGCTCTCTGCCAAAATCGCCCGCTCGAGGGGCGATCTGGGGATGATGGCTGTGGGGCTCTCATCTCATGCAGTGGCGACATATATCGAAAGGTTGAGCTCGTCATACGAGAATGTCCAGGTCGTTGTGGCTTGCATGAATAGTCCCAAGAGTGTGACGCTGAGCGGCGTCGTCGTCCAGCTCAAGGCATTGAAGCATTGGCTTGAGCATGATGCTATCTTTGCAAGAGTACTGCGAGTGCCTGTTGCTTATCATCCACCTTTCATGAAACCAGTAGCTGAAGACTACGCCGCTTCTTTGGGCACGCTCGAGAGAAGCTCAGGGAAAGAGTGGATCCCAATGATCTCCTCAGTGACTGGCGACATTGTGACTGAGAAAGACTTACTAGACGCAAACTACTGGGTCCGCAATCTGGTCTCTCCTGTACAATTCGACATGGCCTTTTCGAAGCTTCTGGGTCAAGCACATAAGAAAGCCCGCAAGCAGCTAGGAAAAGCAACACAAAAAGCGCTACGAATCACCGAGATTTTGGAAATTGGTCCACATCCGGCGCTTCAGGGAGCAATTCGTGACATGATAAGTATAAGCAGTAACCCGGCGACAATGGTCTATCATTCCTCCTTACTACGAGGGGAAGACGCAAACTTTGCCGTGATGAGAATGGCCGGTACTTTGCACTGCTCAGGAGTGCCTGTCAAGATTGATAAAGTCAATCAGGCGAGTCATAGGCCTCTGGAACGAGTGGCGAGACTTCCTTCGTATCCCTTCAACCACTCGCGTGTTTACTGGGAAGAAAGCCGCATAAGCAGGAACATTCGCTTTCCCAGACATGGACGCATCGATCTGCTTGGAACAAGAATCCCAGATGGTAAGTAAGGTACTTTGTCCAATAATGGCGATGTAAATCTTGACAAATGAATGACTAGGGATTCCCGAAAACCCCGTCTGGCAAAGCGTTATTCGCTGCAGCGAATTGCCCTGGATAGAGGACCATCGTGTCCAGGGCGAACGAATCTTACCCGCCAGTGCCATCCTCATCATGGCAGTCGAAGCTTTCAGGCAAGTCTTTGGCGACAATGACAATATAAAAGGTTGTCGACTTCGGGACGTGGCATTCGTCCATCCCATTGAATTTCCCTCGAATGTCGACCGAGTAGAAGAGACTAGATTTGTTCTGAATTTGCCACCTCCTCACGCAGATTACTGCGTAGCTTGGTCGGATTTCAAAGTGTTTGTTATTGATGGCCACGAGAATTTTGTTCCGTGCTGCACTGGTGCCATACGCGGAAGCCTGGTCGACGCTTCTTGCCCGATGCCATGTTTTGAGGGGCATGAATGTCTGCCTGAGTGGATCGAGTTCACCGAGAGAACGTGCACGGATGACCTGGACATGCAAGCAATCTATGACTCGGTAACGAGGGATGGGGTCCAATATGGGCCCTGTTTCCAGATTTTGGAAAATCTTCATGTGGGTCACCCCGGACAAGCTTTKGCCAATATCAACACTGGTAAATGGCGGAAGACGACAGAGGGGAGTTTCTCATCGCATCCCGTTCATCCGACTGCATTGGATGCCGCAATCCAGCTTTTGACGCTGGGGCTGAGTCAAGGACGGCAGGACTTTCCCACCATGATGCCATCCCGTATTGCCAATGCTTGGATTGACTGCCAACACAGCGAAATACTGAACAATGGARGTATCAGCTCGATGGCGCGGTGCTCGATCAAGGGTCATCGGTCAGCTGGCGCCGACATATCCTGGCTACGGAGCGAAATGGCGATCCTCTCGTCTGGCTGCAAGGCATGGAAGCCACTTTTATCGATGGTTTCCATGGTGCGTTGAATGGTTCTCGTAAGGTTGACCCGCATCTATGTACACGTCTGTCTTGGAGACCAGATATATCGACGATGAGCCACGCTCAGCTTGAAGCAGAGTGCACAAAGCAAAGGCCCAAGGGGCCCGTCAACCAAGTCGAGTCATATCGTCTGATGACACTTGCAGCCAGTTCTTTCATCTATGAGGCTCTCGACTACGTTGATGCTCATCAGACGACGTTGTGTCTGCCCAGGCATCTTCAATCTTACATCCAATGGATGAGATATCAGAGGGAGCGCATCAGGGAAGGAAAGTTGCCATTCACTGAAGATGAATTGATGCAGCTCCTTCATTCAGCTGTGGAGCGCAAGACTCTCATTGAAAGGGTCGAGCACGCCGACAGCGAAGGCAAATTAATGATGATAATGGGCAAGAATCTCCTCGCTATCTTACGGGGAGACGTAGATCCCCTCAGCCTCCTTTTCGGCGAAGATGAGCTAGCCGAAGAATTCTACCAGGTGATGCTAAGCAATGCATATCACTCACATCCCTCAAGGGCATTTCTGGCCCTCCTATCATTCAAGAATCCCTCGCTGCGGATCCTGGAAGTGGGAGCTGGTACAGGAGGCCAAACTTCAGCCTGCCTGGAAGAACTCTCTTCCGCCGGCGTCAAGAAAATTTTCCCATTACGATTTCACCGATATCTCAGCTGCCTTCTTCACCCAAGCTCGAGCCAAGTATGCGGATTCCGCTCATTTGATGACCTTTAGGACTTTTGATGTCGAGCAGGATCCTGTCAAGCAGCAAGGGTTCGAGGCTGGCTCATATGATCTGGTCGTCGCATCACATGTCATACATGCGACTGCGTCACTGGAGGGATCATTGCGGAACATGAGAAAGCTCCTACGGCCTGGTGGGAAATTGCTGCTATTTGAAATCACTCGACCTGATTTCTTACTGGCCGGTTTCGCATTCGGGCTACTGCGTGGATGGTGAGCGCCTCTCAACCACGAGAGTCGTGATGAGTTCAGCCCCTGTGTTACCGCCGCGAAATGGTCGGACAGTCTGGAGAAGTCCGGTTTTTCTGGCGTAGACGTCGAGCTTTGGGGTCAAGAGCATCCGCGGTGTCAATACAGCAGTATCATGATATCAACTGCCGTAGAAGCCTCTTCGCAGTTTGAAGATCACCACCGGCAAGTTGTCATTGTCGTGAACCCAGAGGTGGAATTTCAATGCGCCATTGCCCGGCAGCTTCAACAGGAATTGGCCGGGTCTAAGCTGTACACTTTACAGCAACTTGCCCACGACGCCGACCTGGCCCCTACAATAATCGTGTTCCTTGTGGAAATCAAAACTGTCCTTCTCTACAGCCTCACAGAATCCGAATATGGCCGTCTCCAATCCGTGTTGCTCCAGCAAATTTAAAAATGTACTATGGGTTACGCAGGCATGCTCGACATTATCGGAACCGCGACACAATGTGGTATATGGTATGGCTCGATCGCTCATGTCCGAAGACTCCACGCGCAAATTCACCACACTTGCTCTGGAAGGTGGATCGATGGATGTGGGTTTTGCTGTATTGCACATCATCAAATTCTTGACTGTTCGACCACTTGATGTCGAGAGGAGAGCGAGGGTAATGTTGTGATTGAACATGGTGTCCGCTATATTGTGCGCATCACTCCGAATGCTCCAATCAACGACATGATGGTGCGGAAAGCTTCATCTCAACGAGTCGAGGAAGTTGAGATTGGATATCAAATGTCATATGCACTGGGCATGTCGACACCTGGTTCCCTCCACACCCTCAAGTACTCTCGAGATGACGAAGCAGATCTTCTAATTAAAGAAGATGATGTTCTGATCGAGGTTCGAGCATTTGGTCTAGGTCCCCGCGATTACCAGAGTGCGAGCGGAAAACTTGATGATTTGACATTGAGCTCGGAATGTGCTGGGGTCGTACAGTTGGCAGGTAGAACTAGTCTCTGGAAACCTGGAGACCGGGTGGCCGCAATTGGAATTAACATGGCCCGCACGCTCGTAACAGTGAGCTCCAAAGCTGTCGTGGCCATTCCGGAAAATGTCACTTACACCGAAGCGGCCAGTAGGCAGACGGCGATATGGACGGCCTATCATGGCCTCTTCGATCTCGGGAGGCTGGATGAAGACGAAACTGTCCTTGTACGAGGGGCAGCTTCCTTCTAGTATTGGTCAAGCCCTGGTCCGGATGGTCCTTCGAGTTGGCGCTACCCTCCTTGCAACAGTTGAGACCAGTTCGCAAGCCACGTTCTTGGTGGAAAGTCTACAAATCCCCTCGACTTCCATCTTGACTTGTGCTGATAGTCTTCTCCATGAAGAGGTCCGTCGTGTAACTCATGGAAGAGGAGTGGATGTTTTCATTGGGGCACTCTCGGGCGACTCAATGCATGATTACGCRCAGTGTGTTGCACCTTTTGGTCGCTTGATCAACACCGAAGCCGGGAGCCAACATGTGAATACCCACACAAGTCTGAGACAAGACAGTATCGACTTGGTTGCGCACCTCCGTTGCAATCCGGCTGCTGCACATAAGATATTCCAGCGAGTGATCAAACAAGTCGTTCACTCAGCTTCCACGTATTTCCATACCTCAGGACCGCGACAGATTTTTCAAGTAGCTGAAACTGAACAAGCATTCCGCAATCTTGAACAGATGGGAAGTACTGGGTCCGTCGTTGTCGAGATCGATCCAGAAGCAAAAAATCACCGCTCAAGTGGCAAACAAGCCAAAGTATCACTTCTCCGAAAATGCAACATATATTATTGCCGGTGGTCTAGGCGGGTTAGGTCGCGGCTTTGCTCGATGGATGGTGGCCCGAGGAGCGTGATTCTTAGTCCTTCTCTCCCGTAGAGGTGTTCAGACCAAACCCGCCGAAGAACTCATCTCTGAGCTCTCAGCACGAAACGTCAAAATTTCGACCCCAACGTGCGATGTCACTGATCTAGCCGCTCTCACGCGGACAGTGGAAGAGATAACATCTACAATACCTCCTATTTTGGGCTGTATACAGGCCACCGTCGCTCTCCGCGATGCAACGTTTGAGAACATGACTTTTGCCGACTGGAAGACTGGTCTAGACTCCAAAGCACTCGGCTCGTGGAATCTTCACTGCTGCATGCCGCAGAATCTAGACTTCTTCGTTATTGTCGCCAGTCTCAATGGGATTTTTGGCGGGCGTGGACAGGCTAACTACGCCGCTGGCAATACGTATAAAGATGCTTTGGCACATTACCGAATCGGACTGGGACTCAAAGCCGTTGCAATTGATTTGGGGCTCGTGGTCGATCAAGGTCTTGTCTCCGAGAACAAGGACATACTTGATTCTTTGAGACGAGTTGGTGAGTGTGAACCGTACTTGATTGAATTGAACTCACGAGTAAAGCTKACTGCTTCTTTTTCCGCACCAGGACATCTAAAAGACATCCGATCCGAAGATCTGCTTGCACTTCTGGACCATTACTGTGACCCCCACATCTCCCACTTCTCAGCCACGAAGATGCGCAAGTTCTAGTCGGCGCTGAATTACCTTCGATCGTAATGGCCAAAGGCATGGATATACATCACTCGATCAAGCGTCCCATTTCCCGCCATTTATTCCGCATGGGCGCTCACAGTGCAGGGAAAAAAATCATCACAAGAAGGAGGAAACATCATTGATCGCGCGGCTGCGTTGCGTAATGCTCCCTCGCGGGAAGAAGCAGAGCGATTGGCTACCGAGTGGTTCGCGGCTAAGATTGCACATGTGCTTGGACTGCCTGTGGGGGATATCAATACTTGTCAGCCTGTTCATACTTATGGGGTGGATTCCCTCTTGGCTGTTGATTTGAAAAATTGGTTCCTGAAAGAGGTCGAGGTGGATGTTCCTGTGTTTCRGCTGCTGGGGAATTCTACTATGGCGGAGATTGGAGCGGTGGCGGCGGCTAAAAGTCAGCTTCGGAATCCAAAGGGAGTTGATAATTAGGACGAGCCTAGAAGGTATATACGCGAAGGCGCTAGTGAGGTCGACGACGGCCGATGTTAGTAGAGGTCTATAGAGAATAATAAGGAAGGGAGATGTAGGAGACGCGAAGTGAAGCGATCTCACAAATGATGACTCAGCACATACGTCACTTTAGGCTCCACTTTCTGTTGCCTGCTATTGCCTGCTCCCGTACCCTTGGGACTTCCTATCTAGTCAGGTACTGTTGCCTACTTATTAGGTCTTGCTATCATTAATTAAATCCGCGTACCATTCCATCTTGAACTCTTCCATCTTGAACACTTCCATCTTCTCCAACAATGACTGACTTTTTGAGTTTACCGACAGAATTGATCCTTTCCATTGTTGAGCGTCTACCCCTCACAGATCTCAAGTCTACAAGCAAGGCGGGATGGCAGCTGCGTCGCATCGCGGAACCACTCTTGTTCAGCTGCCTGAGAATCCCCAACTTCGAAGAGGACAGGCACATTTTCGAAACAATCATAGAGAAATACGGACGGCATGTGGACAAGTTGGTGTTCGAACTTGACTTCACCAATACATGTACTGGAGCAGACGATGACAGCCTCAACGAGGTCAGTCAGGGACGATCAGAAGATCGCACTGACTCACAGGCATCTGGTTTCACGGACCTGGCACGGCGGCTACTGAGCGGAGACGCTCTCCCCGATGTGTCCCAATTGCGGATCACTTTCGAGGCTGGCGAGTTCCGAGACGATGAAATCTTTGGCGAGCAGTCAACCATCTACATGCACGATGATGACGAGACTCGGGAACAGATCCGCGAACAGGAGGCCGCATGGATGTGGCGAGCTGTTATGAATGAAATGTACAAGCACCTCTCCTCCAGGAGAAACCTCAAATGCCTCGAACTACGTAAAGTGGTTCCGAAAGGGTGCTCAACATTCCACATAGCAGAGTGGCGAGCATTCCTCTCCACGCTCAATGAGTTCGATATCGACATCTGGGGAGGCGACAATGGTGCTGGATGGCATTCGAATACCACTTTCGGATACATGATGTTCATCGCAGAGATGAATGAGTTCTTCTTCAAGCATTTAGGCTCTGTGAGGCGCTGTAGGCTTGCCGCGGATATCGAAAACCCCATCGGGATGACTGGTCACCGTCATTTTCCCGTACCTTTCAAGCCCAAGGACATGCCGAAGCTTGATAAACTTGAACTGGAGAATTGTTTCATCGACCCCGCTCTGGCAAACCATATCAGCAATCATGGCCAACAGCTGAGATCGCTCAGCCTCAAAAATTGCTTCGCAAGTACGTATGGAAATCCTCAAAGACACAAAGCTTCTTTACTGACAGCAAAACAGGCGCTCAAGTCTCAGCGGAGCATAGGTACAGCTGGTCAGACTTCTTCAACTCCATTCGAAAAGGTCCTCCACTGCTAAAAGAGCTCGTGGTAACGAATGAGGATGTCGCCCTCACAAGGGAGGAGGAGTTTCACTCGAGAAATGAAGGTCCATTCATTCCGCTTGAAGACGAACCCGAAAGTGTCCAAATCGTTCGCAGACGACTTTTGGAGAATCCGTCATGTCGATTGTGGCCGTACGTGTATCTGGACGACAAATACGGCATGGTCTTCCAAGACGAGGAGTCTAATGTGGAGGCTTTTGAGGAGGGGGCTGATCAGAGGGAGTTTGATGCTTTGATGGCTCTTGTTGGCCAGAATGKAGGGTGCTTATCCTGAATGTGGGTGTGGAGCTATTTGATGTCGTAACGGAAAATCTATTTCCAGCGCGATATCAATAAGCGTCAGGACATCGCTCTTAGCGATGGTCATCAACAACGGCGGTGGGAAGATTAGAGCTAGTATGTGGCAAAGGTCGTTGGCCCACAGGAGCTCGAAACTATGTCAAACAATCAGCATGGAACAGGAGTATGAGATGGTTTCTGTACCTTTTGAGAGCCACGTTGTTCTTCCAGCTGTCGACTTCTTCCTCGTTGCCACTGGCTCGGCCATTTCGATCTGTTTGACATTAGAGACTCTCACATTCAGAGCCATCATGTCAACAGAACCGATCATCTTCGAACGCCTTCTTCGTTCCGCCAATAAAAAGTCCGGGCGAATGAGACGGTGGGAATTGTCCCATCCATGGGTCGGTGGTCTCGGGGTTCATCAGCGACAATAATCCAAATGTCGAAACCATTGGCCAAAAAGCTCACACTTATCTGGAAACAGCCTTGACATGCCTGTCCATTGACAGCTTCAACGTATCGGACGTGAGCATCACTGTAAGAGCTTCCCCAGATCCTTCCTTATCCGAATAGATTTCGATCTCGGAAAGTGACTAGGCATAAGTAATGGCATCGGAGTAGTCAACTCTGCTGTGAGCTAGGAATGATCCCGTGCTTTGGCTCCCCGGCTTATACATCTCCAGAGCCCAAAACCGCGATTATCGTGCACTGCACAAGTTCGGCAAGGTTTGAAATTCTTAATGAAGTAAGGTAGTGCGAAAGTGTTCTCTCTTTCAAAGTCGATTAATCTAGGCTATGATGAGGTAAGGTGACTTGTTAAGGAGGTCTCTTTTTGGAGAGAGGGATGATGAAGTATCAACCTTGCTACTATACTAAGTCGAGCATGGAAATTTGAGTTATAACTGGATGTGGAGACGGGATGAGGACTTTTGATATTGTGAGTATAAGTTTGATGATATGTAGGGTGAGGAAGCGATATACTATGAGTATTAGTAGAAGTTCGGTGTACTTACGCTCGGACTGCTATTATCCTAGTTACTTGTAGGAGAACATCCGGAAAGAGAGTAGCCAGACATTCAACTATAAGAGAGGTGCTAATGAGTAGCAGAGCTGGATGGGTTCTAGTACTTGGTATACCAGGTCTCCTCTTCTATTTAATTCAGGGGTAGCTCGAGAGAGATAGACCTGTTATTGCATTTTGCTTGTCAGCTGTAGCTCGTCAACAATGCATTAACACGGGAAACTCACCGCAGCTAGCTACTATACGGCAGCCTTTTATTTCTAGCACATGTGCCATCTATCTCCCCATGCATTATCTCCCCCCACTATGCCACTCTCGGCTTCTTAGCACGACTCGTGGCACTCACGATATCTGAGTGCGCATAACCATCGCAATGTTACATGCTGGAGATTAACCATCTACATTAGGAAATCAGCGCCGCGGGTCCAGCAGCTGAACGTCCTTCTCTGCCACTCAAACCTTCGATATTAGGTGAGAAGAGCAGTATGCCGCTGATGTTTTCTCTAACGTCTAACTGATCCCATCCTCCTAGATCGAAACAATCTGGAAATTCCTCTTCCTTCTTAAGCGACCTAGTTGACTTTCGTATTCGACTTCAATGAACGATCACTTTCGACTTTAGGCATCTAATGGCGGCTGTTCGATCCACTGCAACTTGCTCGACACTACGTTTGATCAATGAAATTCCTTCAGTGCAAAGTTTCGTTGAAAATATCATCGTTTTCGACCATTGGTGGGGGGGTCTAAGAAGTTCATCTCGCTCGTAGCTAGCTCGTGGTTCATATACTTCCAGGTTGTCGTTCTCTTGRGCAGCATTGTCTTACGCTGAGACTTGGTCATTGTAGCGTCAAGCTTGTTATTGACATTTCTTTGTTCACAAACTTATCGWGTACAGCGAGAATGAGAGGTAACCTATCTCGTTTGTCTCTATATGGTTTGTATGAGCATATGCAGTTCCATCAGTTACGATAACAACATCAAGTACATTAAGCATACCGTTGATAATGCCCACTTCTCATCCTATTTGAAGCATGGCCGCTGTTGAAGGTCGTGTGCTACTACCCTTAACCCTTACTCTGGCGTGGTAATTGCCTGCTAAAGATTGCCAAAATGAATACTGGCTTCAAAGTGTCATTTACCAAATCGCCTTCTAATCGTTTATTATCTCCAAAGAACGATGCGCGCTCGACACATACGGAATCGACAACAGATGATGCTCGAAAGCCGAAGATGTTTCCTCGATTTATGGTACTGTTTTGAAGAATTGGTCGAATCTCTGCAAGTCCGTCTTTTTGTTAAAGGTTCCGCTACTATAAACGCAAGTAGGAATGTAAGCAGGTAGATCTTGGCCAATAAGTCCTGAAAAAGAGAAGTCTATGAGCACCAGACGCCCTTCCGAATCAGACATGACGTTGCTGGGACTCAGATCGCCGTGACACATTCCCTGTCTATGTAATGCTTCAACTGCTTGCCACACCTCATCGCCCCTTGCACCAAGTTCTTGGAAGTCCACCTTCCACAAGTACTCCATCCGAAACCCAATATATGCCATCATGATCCATAAGAGGCTGAGGATCAACTTTTGGCGCCGGGAGCTCAGCGAGATTTCGCATGAAGTCGTACTCGTGTTGTATTAGTTGTCGAGCCTCGGTGGTAGGGTGCGCGATTTTCGCAATCGTGAAATCCCCTTGGTGGCATTCCCGCACAATAGCGTTCGATCCGAAGTCAACCAAGTCCGAGTGAGACCATGTCAAAGCCATTTCATCGCTCATGATAACGGGTCCCAATTCGACGCTGTCAAAATCGGGATAACATTGAGAGCCTTCCCAGAAGACCTCGTACAGTTGGCTCTTGGCTTCCACGTAGCATTTGAAAGAGCCACGGCAAGCGGCGGGCAAAGGCGGGGGGATACAGCCTGGATCATTCTGGCTCGTCATTAGTGGTGTTGAAGATTCTTAAGTACGGTGATGAAATACGCACTGGCGAGTACCGTAAGCGAGGCTAATGTGTTTTTCGATCAACCGCTCGAAGAGAAGATGTTAGGTGTCACGAAGGAAGATATCTCATTGCGTGTGCGTAGGTGAGGTGAGATCGGGGAAACCGAAGCGCCTTCCGCGCTACATTAATCGAGCCCGCTAACACAGCCCCGCTGCGTCGCGCTTGACGCAGCTAATATAAATCTTTCTGGGTTTCAGGCCCACATCGAATACCTCTGAAACGTTCAATACGAACTTGACGAGAGAATGACAGCGGCCGAATGGTCTAGTGGTATGATTCCTGCTTTGGGATTAGTCAGCTCCGTTGGCTATCGATTGCAGGAGGCCCCGGTAGGTCAAAACCATCTCACATCACCACGCACATGGATTTCTTACTGACTCACGATAGTGTTCAATCCACGGTTCGGCCCCGTTGTATAGACGCCTTGAGCGTCGATCTTTTGCTTTTTGTCGACACGGGACCCTTAGAGGCCTTTTGGTCCGCTAGGAACTTTTCTAGTGGAGCTGAGAAATCTGCGGGTGTTGAGATCCTTTTTGCACAATCATTTGCCGCAAAGTGACGAGATTCTTAAGTCATGGCCGCCGAAGTTCTCCTTAATGACAGGAACAGCAAGCGATCAATCAATCAATCAATCAATATGCGGCGGCGGCGTTTGCGATTTTTGCTCAATTCGAATTCAATCCATCCTAGGATTGCCAAGACCGTTTGTGGGCCGAGAATCTCCCCGCCTGCCTCTTCCGGTAAGGTAGTCGTGATTCCATTCCTCGTAACTTCCTTCGGCCAGAAAGCTCAGGTCCAGTCAGCGTGATGGCGCGTTGTCATGAAGCAACAGTGGAATGAAGGATATGTTGCTGAAGAGGTGAGGTCAAGATCTCTGTTGTTTGATCGGCCGGATTGATTAGGCTGGGCGAAATCTAGCGAGTTGCCTTGCAGCTGAGCTGCTTCATCTCGCTAGAATTAGCTAACATGAAACGCAACGAAGTGGCCAGAATTCAATTTGTAACCTGTATACAACATCAAACGTCATTTGTTCGTTGGCATCCATCCAATGCGCTGTCATTCATACCTTACAGCCAACATCTCTAAAGTCGACTTCTCGTCATCTTTGAGAATGACGCAATGCATATGCACTTTTCCGGAGGATTGCCATTCCATAAACGCCGGAGCCCTCGGGGCCGAACGCGTGCGGCATAGATAATCAACGCGAAAGCCCGACAGGATTGACAATGAGGATTACTACTAAGTAGTATTAAAGAAAAAGCCCCTCGACGACGACAAACATTGAAAAAAAAATAACAAAACGACAATAATACCCAAGTCACACACCATCAATCACCAACCATGTCTTCAATCCTCGATCTCAACCAAACAATTCCCACCCTCGGCATAGCCCTCTCCCTCTGCGCAGCAGGAACAATAACCGCCCTAAGCATCTTCGAAACCTCGCAACTGCAAGCCTCCCTCCCCAAAATCATCCAAACAATCAGTATTTCCATCTCCCTCTCCGCAGGAGGCGGCATCGCAGCTCTAAGCATCTTCGCCATCCCACAATTGCAATCTCAACCTGCGGATCGATCACTGCCTTTGATTAGATGGCTGTTTAGTCGGGGGGGACATATTTTTCCACAGGCCGCGGTATGCTTTATGCGATCTCTCTCTCTCTCTCTCCCCGTTTTAAAGACAGATTCAATATGACGACAGGTTTTCTAATGAGGATGTTCTTAATCAGACAATCGCTATGGCGGGTTTCACATATCTCGCATATGATACTCTGCCAGAACCCACCACTCGATCAATATCCCAATTATTGAAAACAACAAATGGGTTCAAAGTCAATGCCTATCTCACAGCAGCTGTACTTGCAATGGGTATAGCACCGTTCACAATCTTGCTGATGATTCCAAACAACTTTGCCATAATCAAGAAGAATGAGATGTTGGGAGGTGCTCGAAGCGTCAATGCCGCTAAGGTTTTGAAGGAATCGGGTTATAAACCTGGTCAGCGAAGTGCTGTTGACTCGATTAATAGTCTTGGGGAGGGATCGGAGTTGTTTGATCTTAGTGGACCGCAGACGAAGACGCCCATTTCGTCTAGCGAAGCGGATGATCGGGAGGTTAGGAGGATGCTTGGTGAGTTTGGGAGGTATAATTTGGGCAGAGCTTTGTTGGTGGGTGGTGCGGGTGTTGTTGGTCTAGTGGCGGCTTTGTCTTGAGATGGCATGTCCCCGAGAGCATCACCTTCATGATAAGGAGAACGGCACACACACGGAGAGATTAATGTATTGAATTTTCCCTATTACTGCATTGTCAATCCAACAACAAAATTGACGGCATCATCCATGTACGTATCAACATTGTCGTAATGCACGTTCAGGTCCAGCCCTCGTGCACAGAAAGGATCGTTCTTGTCGCAGTAGCTTCGCAGGATTGAGCTGAACTCATTGAGTTTGCTCAAAGTACTAACGCGAGCAAAGAGGCCGTCGCGGGTCGCTGTGCCTCGATCGTAGACCTGACCCGCAACATGTCGAGGATCCGCGAATGCAACAATGGCCTTGATGTATTGCGCGTATTCTGCTTCGATGGGACCTTGTGTGATGGAGCCTCCGGCCATGGTATCGGTCATGACATGAGCACCTTGTGAGTAGCCGATGAGTGCTATGCGAGATGCAGAGCCACATTTGTCGACGTAAGCTTTGATTTGCGCCTTGGTGTTTGTTATGCCGTCATTGACAGACTGCGATTCCGAAATTAGTCGGGTGGCATGGGTGAGGTTCATGTGGTAGGGCATACTGGAAAGTAAATGCCATCGTCGTCGATGAGTGCGGCAGGGTAGATGATCGCACTGCTCACGGAGTTTGGAACCAATGCCTCTATTGCGTCCGCAACGACGCCTACTGATCCCTCACCAGGAGCCTGAGATTCATGTCAGTACTGGGAGGCAATCATGGTGCATCCATCTTCACCAACCTGGGTGGATCCACGAGCCGAAAGAATGTWCAGACCGCTCACACACTCCACATTCTGACGAGGAAGTAAAGGAGCAGCGGCAGCAGCAGCGACCAGGCCGAGAGAGAGAAGTGCGTTGCGAACCATTACGGCGGAAGAGAAACGTGTTCAGCGAATGTATTTGACCTCGTGGAGTGGGAAAGAGCTGCACATGAATGAGACATACTCACCGTCTTAATATGAAAAGGGCGCCCAGCCATCTTCCGTCCACACTGAAGACGCCGAGCATGCTATCCAGGATACATGTGCGCCTCGTGATGATTAGCGAGGAGTCGAGGACCATTCGCGTGCTTCGAATGTGGATCTGCAATGTTTCAGGAGACGATCCATTCCACGGCCAGCAGCGGTGGGCCCGACTCCCGAACGGCGAAAGGCGCGCCATCTTGCTGGTAATTGGAGGGGCGGATCACAGATGGCCTCTAACACGGAGTATTTTAGGAAATAGGAAGGTGGTCTGGAAACTAGGATGTGGGTTTTGGGAAAGGATCGTGGTGGCGGAAGCGTGTCGATCCCCGCCAAGCAAGCGTGGATGCGGCAGGGATGTGGTTGGCGGGAAATCTCCGGAGCGCAAAGAGCGGACCTCCTGCTTTAAATTTCTCGGAACCGAACTTTTCGCAGACATCGAACAGCGCTTGCCGGTGCAACGAGGCGAAGAGGGTGGAGTCGCATGGAATGTGGAGGATGATCTGGCGTGGAAGGGAAGATGGTTGAGAGAGAAGGACGGTGACCAGTTCGTTCCAAGATCCCCGGCTGGAGAAAGGACCGTACCGTCGACAAATACAATGACGCCGGAATGTTACTGTACGCGTGTTGGCATGCATCTGCCGCGCCACCCACGCTTGGAAGAGGAAAGTTCGACGCGGGACGTACTCCAACAACGAACTTTCGCGACCACTGATGTCGTACGGACGACACGCCATCCGAAAAGCCACACGACGTGACCACGACGAGAAGCTGGACTTTGGAAGATCTACGAGCTTGCACGACGGACTCCCTAGGTCTCTCTAGTCCATGACTGGAGGAGTGCCGAGGGCTGAGGAAATTGAAGCATGCCTGCTTCCCACTGTCGAGCGTCTTGCAAATGCWTTTGTCGTTCTCGTGGAGACGACAGAGTCTTTAAATACAGCAGGTATGGCGGCGACCTTGATATTGCTTCTTTCTTTGGATCTTTCTCTTCTTTGCAATACTCTAGAGACAGCTCCATCCTCTCATACAGTCTTTTCGACTTGACGAACTTCATTCTTATCGTTCTTACTAGAGTCTGATGCTCCATCGTAAGAGTTACGAGTAGCGTACTCTTCCAAATGAGCGGGAAGGAAAATCTTGTCGATGTCCTCCAGGCTGATGTTCGAGGTCTCTGGGACTGGGAGGGTGATGTTAGAAAGAAATGATGAACTAGATGTTGTTTTGATCTCAGGATGTGCTTACAGTAGAAGTATACGATTGGGACGAAAATGGCCTGCAAAGAACGGTGTTAGCTCAGAAGGTGTTTCTTGGCGTGACGTGGGCGCTGTGCTTACGAGAAGAAGTGCAAAGATGATGTAGGTATGGAATCCGATTCGGTTGATGAGGACAGGTGCTGTTCATCATTAGTTCATTGGTCAGTGACCTGCATATGCTTTTATGCACTTACAGATCATGACGATGAAGAAGTTCCAGAGCCAATGCGCGGAGACACTGATGGCTGTACCGCGGGTTCGAGCTTCGAGTGGAAGAATCCTGAAGAACATCAGCGATCGAGCGACATATCACTCTCAATAGAATGGGAATACTGACTCTGGTCCATACACCCAAGGAACGACATTCACGGTTCCGCCGAAGATCAACATATACTAAGAGTGAATGTCAGTCGTGAACATAAACAAGTCATTGTGGACCTTCATGGCATACCAGGAAGAAGAATCCAATCGCAGCTGAAGAAGGACCCTTTGTGCCGAAGGACAGGAGGATAGTAATCATGACCATGCAGAAGCTGAGTGCCGCACATCCATACATCATAGTCGGTCTCCGTCCCATTCTATCGAGCGCGAAAGCTGGTGCCAGGTTACCGATAGGGAACATCAAATTGACGAATCTTCGGCCAAGGTTAGCGATGTCTTGAAAACCCTCAATGTGGACAGAGACACAGGGTAGCTCGAGGGAACCTTCGAGTTGACCAATGTGCCTTCTACCCTTGTATATCTTACCCAGCCATGAGCAAAGAGGTGTTTGGGCTCAGACCGACGTTCGTCCTTAGGACAGTCGGCATGTAGTACACAACAAGGTTGATTCTATGAGAATGTCAGATCCGATTCCAATTCTGTCCAACTTAGCACTCGCCCGCTCAACTGGTTCATGAACAGCGAAACCCATGCGAGCATCACTCTTCGCCGAGTCTTGAGGATGTCAGGCTTGATTAGTGCGCTGTATCCTTTGGTACCCTCGCGCTGCTCGAGAGCGACGGCGGCTCGAATGGCGGCCATTTCTTCCAAGACATAAGGATCGTCTGGTTGGAGATCGAAGACTGCGCAGATGACCTCCTGTGCTTCTGCCTCGCGACCACGCTTGGCTAGCCTATCATTCATGTTAACCTTGATCTTTATGCTCCAGCTCGAATGCACGCACCATCGGGGAGACTCAGGGAGACCCCAGACTACGAAGATGACCACAATGGCGAAGATCAGTTGCAGGGCAATTGGTGTGCGCCAGGCTACGTCGCTGTCGACGTATGAAAACCCGTAGTCAACCCTATTACATCGGTTAGCTGTGTTTCCGGCAGTCTCCAGGTGAGCATGGCTATGCGCAGTTCGAACCAACATGTTCGGCCCACCCAAATACCTTCTCTTTCTTACCAGTAGGCTATTCAATAGTCAGCATGAGTTCTCTATGCGTCAAGCTTCCTCAACATACCAGTGACGATCCCAATGCCGATAAAGAAGATCTCCCACGATACCAATCTGCCACGGTTCTCCTTCTTGGCCAGTTCGGATTGGTACATGGGAATGGTGGAACTATCAATGCCAGTTCCAAAACCAGTAATCACGCGTCCAACGATGAGGTGTGCGAGCGAGAATGCGGATGCCTGTAGAGATGCCCCGACAACAATCAGTCCCATGGCAAGCCATATCGATTTCCGTCTTCCAATGATATCTCCGAGCAAGAAGCTCAAGAGGCAGCCCACGAGGCAGCCTAGACAATAGCTCGCGACGGTGATGCCGGTAGTGACATCGTCTGGATCGTTGAATTGTTCTCGAAAGTGTGGGTTTTGGAGAAGTCCGGAGAGTACACCTTGATCATAGCTGGAGTCCTTACATTAGAGAACGCTCATAAGTTGAATTGCAAGAATTTCAACACACCCAAAGAACAGGAAAGCAGACAAACATGCAACATAGATGCCGCCTCGGAGAGGAGCTCCACGTCCATAACAGCTTCGCATTGTTACTTCAAATGGATGATAGAAGGTATGTCGCAAAGACAGACACGATACATCGCGTACGCGGAAACGGTAGATTATGTATATGAACATCGTCGACTAGCGGCGGCAATCAATTGTCGTGGGATGCCTCATCTGGAAGTTCCGGCCTGCGCGTGGTCTGGTGCGACATGGTCTTGGAAGCCAAGGTGAGGAGTAAAGAAGAACCTTGTCATCGCGATCTGCGTCGAGAACGTGGCTGGCGCATGGGATATCAGGTCGACTTCATGAGCCTGTTGGAAAAGTGAGACTAGCAAGAGCTTGCATTCGCCAGAGTGTCGATGTGGTTGTCTTTGTCTCTCTCTTCACACGGTCAAATGAAGGAAGGCTGTTGGATGTCGTGAAGTTGATCGTCTGTGGGGACCCCACTGCTTCTCCGGATAATGTCTGGCGCCTCCGCCTCGTCCTTTCGCTCAAAAGGAAAGTTTAGGCATCATTGCGAACCTTTCACTTTAAGTGAAACTTGAGGAGTGGAGTTTTCGTGGTGCGCAAGATGAGACTGTTTCTTCCATCCCGAAGATGATGGATTCCACAGTCGAGGACCGCATACTTTTAAATACTCACCTTTAAGGGTTTGTCCGCTCTTGTGACAGAAAGCCACACGTCTTCGCTAGAAGGCCCAGAGGAACAGGGAAGGCTCGATCGTCACTTTGCTCCGATCATGATTCCGACTCGCGAAGCACGATGAACGCATCGTTGTGCGTGTCATGCATGTCGGCCTGCTGTAAGCCGACATCTCGAAGATACWGAAGGAAGTCCTCTAGGAAGTGACAGTAAAGAATCACAGCAGAATGCGCTCCGTTCGATCCATGAACTTGGCGCACTCTCCACTCGACGCTGGCGTTTGATTGGCGCAAGTGAGCTCTTCAACCAATGGCAGATGGAGACAATTCCGAGAGGTCGTTGCGAGTCAAACAAGCGGATAGGTATTCCGACGCGGTGTGAATTGTGATGTTCAATGAACGCGTCTCGAAGCATGTCCGGAGATCATAAGGAACTGAGTCGACTTTCTGTCCGCAGATTACCACAGGATGATTACTAAGGATTGRGATCTGCCAAGCTTGGGGTGAGCTGTCCACGTGAGCGGAATGAATCGCGGAGTTCACGGACTTGGACGTCGGACTGGATACGCCCTACTAACATCAGACTATACGCGCCCTACGAACGTACGATTGATAATATGGAAGCCTGCCGAAGACCCTGGGAACATTCAATCTCAACGGTACATGCTCAAGATGTCTCCAGCTCATTGGATGAGAAGAACTCCGAATCTGCAGAGTCATTAGGAATTCGGAGTACTTGCTGTATGACTCCTTTCGATTACGATGTGCTCAGCTAAGCGTGCCGTTTGGTGTGGAATATAAGAGCCAGATCACGGCGGTGTTGAATGGCGTATCAACTTCGATATCTTCTGCTATTCCAGCAAGGTAGCAAACAAAGTCTTTTAGAAAAGATTCCGACTTCCTCCTCCCAGACAAGAGCTCCTCAACTCAAACCTTTTCAAAATGCTCCGCATGACTGGTGTTTCGGCCTCTCGGCCTTCAAAGCAAAGCCAAGATTCTCGTCCGTCACAGACCATGGCACCAGAAACAGCCTCAGACACAGCTTCCATCTCAACGAAAGCGAGTGCAAGATCATGGACGCGACTGCTTCCAAAGAAGAGTCAAACCGAAGGAGATGCGGCTCGACAACCCGTCCGATCAGAACATGTCCACTTTCGAACTGAAACACTGGCGTTGCATGCTTCCATGAAGTAGACGAGGTAGGTTTTTTGCTCTAATGACAGTCCCTCGATTCTTATGACTGACGTGCTTTAGACTTGAGCGATTGCATGCCATATCGGCCTTTTATTGAGAATGCTAGGAGCAACGCCCGGAACCGAAGATGGGGATTTCAGTGCATATACGACCGGGCAAAAATGAACAATGCCCGGGAAAAGAACAGAGATGCCAGTATGTTGCGAAGTAGAGAGAGGCGCAGAAGAGTCCATATCGAGGTTGAGAGGACGACGCGATCGAAGCATCGTCAGAGCAGTAAGGTCCAACCTAGAAAGCGAACAGCGAGCCACAGTTGGTAACGTTGATCCCGCCGAGCAACCGCATTTGTGTGCGGGWTGAAAGGGAGAAGAATAAGATCAATACATACACTCAACAGCATGCCAATGCGCCGTTTTTCTTTCGCTGGCTCGCGTCTTGCCAGGTTAGTTCATCAGAACCGGGTGCAGTCTGAGACATTCCATGCTCTTGACCGGGTGATCCAGCCTGACTTGTCAAGTGACTACCTTGTTCGAGCTGGAGCGCTTCCTTTGAATGGAGGAAGATGAGCGTTCTTGGAGTTTCACGGACGATGGTGGCGATCGCATTGAACCACAAGATCCATCCAGTGCTTCGGTCTTGCCTTCAAGGTTTGCGCTCCATCAAGGCACGCCGCTCCAGACCGGTGGTGGTGGTGGATGGTGGAAGGGGAGGAAGGTCAGGTAAGACGCAGAGGATATTACGCATTTTAAGGGCCGCGCTAGCTATACGAGTCTATACGAGAAATTTAACTTCTTCGAGACGCGTTGTCAAACTCCTCGCAGATGCTGCACGGCAATGGCCCGCCATTTTTCCGCATCACCACCCGCGGCAACACAACGCTGCTCCAGAAGGCACTCCAGCTCTCGTAGGAGATTTCCATACCGAACCGTTGGCACCAGCAGCTTTTCCGCTGCCACTAGAAGCATACTCTGAATCGTCCGAATCAGACACTCCGGTATGCGATCAGTATCATACTCGAGCCTCAACGAGATGCGGTCCGCGAAAGCATGCCACTCCAAGAGGAGGCCAAACTTGGATCCCTCGGTCCAGCAGTGGAGTGGAGTGACCCCATCGAGAGGAAATCCGGACCGATCTGCGGTACGGTCGTCGTGAAAGGTGACGACGCTGTCAAACAACTGCTGCCGTTCAGACGGAAAGGGCAATTTGAGTAGACTCAGCAGCTGATTCCATGGTATCGCGTGAGCAAGTGATGACTGCGAGGCTTGTCGCACTGCTGCCAGCACATCCGCGGAAGTGAGCTCGTCGTCCACGTTGATTCGAACTGGCAAGGCTTGCAGGAAAAGTCCGACAATCTTCTGCTCTTCCACCGAGGTTCGATTTGTGTACGGACTGCCGAGGACGACATCGTTGCGTCCGCATAGGGCATGGAGAACGGCTGCCGATGCCGCAAGGGCGTACTGGTGGAGCGTCAAGCCCATGCTGGTTGTCAATTTGACAATGCCCTTGTGCAGCTGCTCTGGAAGCGTCACTTGTAGGGAGGTTCCACTGTATGATTTCCTCCACTGGACACCTTCTTGGCGATGTAAGTCGAGGCCTTTGAAGTTAGATGACCAAAAGGCAGCAGCTTCGGGCTCCAGCGGCTGCTCCCATGCTGAGCTACAGAAGTAATCCCGTTCCACTGGTGGGGCGATGTTTCCGTGGTACAGCATCGCCGTCTCCGCTAAGAGTGTCTGTAGAGATGTGAGATCGCAGATTATGTGCGAGATGTTGATGGCCAACATGGACGGGGACACCGCAATTCTTGTCAGACACTCGTTACTCAGGTCGAAGGGATGGTTGACAAATGAGATGGCATCGAGGTGATGCATACGCTGCACTCGAATGGGTTCATCTGACAAAATGCGTGCAGGCTGACAGTCATCGCGCGACTGGAATCGCGACCGTAGGATGGGATGGCGGTCCATGACTGCATTCAGCGCATCCACTAGGCGGGATATGTCGACAGCACCTGGACGCAGTTCTGCAATCCACGGCACGTTGAAGGTGCATTGCCACTTCGACGTTTGATATCTGTGCCACCACTCTAGCTCAGCAGGTGAGAGTTTGCTCTTTCCGAGAATGGGAAGAGAATCCTGGACTGGGCTTGAGATTGGTCGCGCAGCCTTGGCTCCCACAAGCCTCTCCACAGCCGCGCCCATGTCGGCGAGAGTACGTGCTTGTATCATCTCTCGCGCACCCAGAGAGATCTTGCAAGCCTTTCGCAGGTACGCAGTGAGGCGTAGTTGGAGAATTGAATGTCCACCCATGTCCGTGAAACTATCCTCGGGGCCAAGAATTACTGAGTCGTCCAGTTCCAGTAAAACACGCCATGCTTGCGCAACTATGGTTTCCCAGGGCGTCAATTCACAGCGGGTCTCCTCCGAGTGCCGTCTTCTACTACCGGGTCGGACGACATCGACTTCGCCGCAAGCAAGCTGTCGACCCAATTCAGCAGCACCCAGCTTTCCATTGCGAGACAGAGGCAGCTGCGGCATTGAAATGATGCGCTTGGGGACCGCATAGAATGGCAACGCGCCTTGCAATCGCCTCCTGAGCTCGGCATGTTCGCACTTTCTCAGATCTGGCTCCACCCAAAGCACCACTTTACCCTGGTGCTCAATGGCTACTGCTTTTCGGATTTTGGCCATGAGCCGAGTTGCAATACCCCCAACATCATCAAGGTCGATGCGGTAACCTCGCATTTTAATTTGCCGGTCACGGCGTCCGCAGACATGCACGTTGCCGTCGCTATCCCAGAAGCCGAGATCGCCGGTATGGTACATCTGTTCCTTGCCATCGCCACAGAACGGATCTGGAAGAAAGTTCCTTGCGGTTTGCTCGGGCATGCCGATATAACCGCGACTGACTTGGATACCAGCGATGAAAATGCTGCCGACAGCGCCGGGTGGTACCAGTTCGTAGGAGTCATCCACGATATAAAGCCGCGTCGAAGCCACTGGTGGTCCTACATTGGCTGGAACCCCGGCTTTCAGCTCCTGCTGGCAAGCACCAATAGTTCCCTGTTGGCTCAAACGGGTTAAAGATTACTCGGAGTGCATGGACAACATGATTTTACGAACCTCTGTAGGGCCAAACAGATTATATAAAGCACGGCATGGCGCCCATCGATCGAGTACAGCCTGTTGCACTGCTTCGCCGGCGAAGTATAGCTGCGAATGAGTCAGCACCTCTCTCTTCGTTCCCGCCGCGACCGCAGACCACCACTTCGCAAGACGTACGTATTTGAGGTTGGGATAATCGCTGGGGTCCAGCCCTGCAGCGACAGATGGAGTCGTCATAGCGACGTCCACGCTACCAAGATGACCAACAACATCATCCGCAGTCTTTCGCAGCACGAGAGTGCCTCCATAACACAGTGCCCCAAAGACCTCGTGTACGCAACCATCGAATCCCGGCGACAAGAACTGCGCTATCCGTACGTTAGGGGCGCTGTTTAGCCGGACTGTAAGGTCTGAGTGGAATGCCGTGACTCCTCCGTGTTCGCAGAGCACACCTGGTGAAGCGTCAGCTTGCAAGCAATCACACTAACTTCATATATGCCTACCTTTTGGCWTTCCTGTGGAACCAGAAGTGAAGCAAAGAAAGACACCGTCTCGAACATTTGGCAATCTCGGGGTGTAATAGGTACCTTGCACATTGCTGGCCAACAACTGATCGATGGAGAGCGCCAAAGGACCATTAGGTATCAGAGTCGCCGCCTGGTTTGCTTCGGTATGGAGGAGAAGCTTCGCTGAGCTTCGAATGATCAATTCGGATCGGTACTCCAGAGTGTGCGAGCTGTCGATCGGACAATACACAGCTCCCGCCAGGACTGCTGCGCACGCCCCGATGATCCAATTTATTGAGCGATCGGCCACGACGCAGACAACATCCCCACGACATGTCAGTTTATCCACCACACTTGCAACGCGGGAAGCGCTGCGGAGGAGCTCTGCATAAGTCATCTGAATGTCGTTCTTCTCCAGCGCCACTCGCCAACAGTTCTCTCGGCATGAYTGGTACAGAAGATCGGTGACTGTGGGCCGTCTGGTGCAACCCAAAGCCGGAGTGCGTGCAATTTTCGAGTCGATGTTGCCAAATTCCAACAGTTTGCGAGCCGTGTCCGGGTTGAGGCGCATCGACAGACACTTTTGCACACTCTGTTTGGACAATGCCAATGCTCTCAGCAAGTTGCGATACACAGATGCCATTTGCTCAACCTCGTCCGGAGTGAAATGCTCAAGATTGTAAAGGAACCGCACGCGATCATCACTCTCTACCAGGATACTGATTGGGAGATCTGGATTCTCGATTACTGTCGCCGGTCCAAGACGCTTCAAGGTCTTCGCCTCTTGCTCCGGCGAGTCGTACTGAATTGCGAGAGCGGATTGATATTGAGGTTGTTCCGAGCCCTGGTCCGCCGCCTGAAACTTGGCTGCAGATTGGAGTGCGTGGAAAGTCTGCTGCACGAACTTGGTGGACGACTGTTCCCCCTCAATGGCCAGGCGAAGAAGCTGTGTGCTGATCATTGGGCCGATGATGCTATCTGCGCCGTCGAAGCTCAGAAGTCTGGCAGAAACGACTGCACCAAACATTACTGTTTTGGAGTTGGCGTAGCTTGATAGAAGTAGAGCCCAAGCAGCGAAGTGGTATGCTGCGGGTGTCACTCCGCTGGTCTCAGCGCATTTGGACAGTTCTGAGAGGTTCAGGCCCGTTAGTACTGTATGTTCTGCGTGTCCGGTGCTGGGATGGAAAGGCCGCTTCGATGGTAAGATCTCGCCCACAGCATCTGGAAAGTCTTGCTCCTGTTGCTGCCAGTAAGCTTGTGCATCAGTGGCAGTCTCTGCTGCATACTGTGCGAGACATTCGACAGCCACTGTGAAAGGCGGCGATGGCTCGAAAGGCTGATCATCGATGGCTGCGGCTACCTTGCTTAGTAGCAGCGATGCTGAAAAACCATCCACAAGTGCATGGTGGATCGACAGAATAACCATGCTCTGATCTGCTGGCAGCTCAGATCCTTCAAAGTGAAGCACCGTCAGGCTGGTGCTCAATCCTACTGTTTCAGCGGCCTTCGTACGCTTGTCTTCGATGTCACCCTGGGAGCTGACGAAAAGTTCGACCCATTCGAATCGGACTTCTTCTTCGATGTGCTGTAGTCCTGCATCCAAGTCTAATCGCGTCCGGAAGATGGGCTCTGCTTGTGAGACAACATGCCAGGCCATCAGCAKTCGGGGAATGTCGTCAGTCCGATATCGAGACATGTGTTGGACCACATTGACCGATGTCCGCTCTAGACTGTTGTAAATGAGCATCTTTTGGAGAGTTGTTAGAGGTGCACTGAGGGATGTCGTTTTTGCACATGCAGTCAACGCAAGATCCGCTGCTGGTACTTGCGCCTTGCGGGACATGTCAATGAGGGCCTGTATAGATGGCGTGGTCAGGATATCCTCCACCGCAACTGCAAACCCTTGCTTGCGACAATTTGCGGACAGTTTGACAGCGGCCAGAGAGTGCAAACCCTGCGAGATGAAGGACTGGTCGAGATCCAACGACGATATTGGGACACCTAGTGTCTGAGCTGTGCTCCGCAACACCGCAATTGTGAGGTCGTCTGCGTTAGCCATGTCGGTTGGCATTTCTTGATCTTCCTGGGCGACCAATTCCTTGACGATATCCACCACCCTGCGTGGATCTACTTTGCCGTTGGGTGTCATTGGCAACATATCGAGTGCAATGAATCGGGCCGGTACGAGATAGTGTGGTACTCTGGCCATCCAGCATCTCCGCAACTCATTCACATCTCCTATAAATGGAGCGATAGCCGTATAGAGATAGTCTCCCACGGCAACGGAGTGTGCTGCCGTGAGGGTAGGCTGCATTGCAAGCACCGCTGAATCAACGTCAAGTTCCAAATTGACGAGAAAGCCACGGATCTTGACTGTCCGGTCCTTTCGACCACAGAACTCAATCGTTCGTTGACCGTCATCGTCCAGCGTCCATTTTGCAAAGTCGCTCGTTCGATACTTGCGGATACCATCTTGAAGGATAAATCTCTCCTTGGTCCGTTCTTCATCCTTCCAATAGCCTTTCGCCAAGCCAATGCCAGAGATTAGGAGTTCGCCCTCTTCGCCGAGAGCCTCGATGTTTGTACCCTTTTCATCTACAAGCGACACTTGGGCACCTCGGATGACACCTCCTAGCATTGTTGGCCGGAACATCTTCGTATCTTTACACCTCTTCAATTGGCCAGTCAATATTGCGCAAAAACTCTCAGTTGGGCCGTAGGCAATCCAGATTGGTCTTTGAAGAAGAGACCAGGAGTCCAAAAGTGTTTGTGAGGGCGTCTCGCCTCCAAGGATGATCCTATCTAGATGTGAGTAGTCGCCGTACGAGCGTGGTGGCTCTAGTGCGGCTAGGATGGACGGCGTCGCTACCAAAACGCTACATCTACGACTTTGAGATTGTAGGCTGGATCGATTCGCCAAGACTACGCTTCCTCCATTACAAAGGATGCTAAACAAGGTACCCATACAAGCTGTCGTGTGTCAGCCCTCGGTCTTGCATTCTTGTCAGGTGGGCTTGAACCTACCGTCAAAGGCAATGGACAGGACGAGGAGGACTCGGTCGTCGGGAGTCACATCGTAGTTGAAGTTAGGTGCTGTGACGAAGTTCGCAACAGCTTCGTGCTTGATCTCCACTCCCTTTGGTAATCCGGTTGTCCCCGAGGTGAAAATAATGGCTGCTAGCTCCGGTGATCTCACAGGAGACATTAATGAAGCACTGTGTTGAATGTCGTTCAGCTCATCAACACGAACGATCAATGTATCTGGAAGTGGTCTGATGTCCATTGTACAGACTACAAGACCTGAGCTTGTACGTTGCAACACATTGTGTATCCGTTCCTCTGGCCATTGGTCGCAGTCGATAGGGACGTAGACCCCTCCGGTTTTGAGGATCCCGAGGATACCCACCACCATGTCCAAACAGGAGTTGGTCAGGATGGGTATGACTTGTGATGGAGTCGCGCCGCATTGCTGCAGTTGGTATGCAAGAGCAGACGAACGCTGGTTCAATTCGCTGTAGKTCAACGATTGACGTCCATCTTCGACCGCGATGTTATTTGGATAAACATCACAAATACCTTGGATCAGGTCAAGCACGGTGGGAGGATGTTGTCGAGTCATCATCGTGCGGGAGTTGTTGAGGATGCTGCCGTGGTCCTGGGCTGAAGGTAGCCATCAAGACCCTGCTAGTTGATATACTCGGGAACATAGCACACTTCACCCCATGGGACGTCATTTGTCGGACACCGACATACGTCACTGTTTGATGATGCCCCTGTGCAGTATTTCGATAAAGATCACTGCCGAGAGCATCACATTTCGCTCCATCTACCAGACTTCAAGAAGGTTTGCCGTCCCAAGTGTTCCAATTCGCTAATATCACGACATCAAGCTCTCTCTCTCATCATGGCTCTCTCCGATAGAATGCGCGGAACTGTGCAAAGCATCATGCCGAAAGTTGCTACTCAAGTCGCTCAACGAAGCTCGAAAAATCCTCCCATCGACTTTGGCACGGCTGAGAACTGGCTGATACGAGAAGAGCTCGTAGACTTTTCGAAAAACGCGATACAAGAAAATCTCACCGAGCAAGTGTGTTCTCCCATGCACACCTCCTTACTCTTCATACAGGCGACTAATGAAGCATGTAGGAGTTTTCATACCAAAAGGGGTTCTCGGGCGATCCAAGACTCATCGACTCCCTTGCAGGCTTATTCAACAGGTCCTTCGCGCCCGTTCACCCTGTTGAAGCCGCTCACATCTCCGTCGGGCCCGGAGGAGCTGCTATGCTGGAGTCCCTTCTATTCAGTATATGTAGCGCGGGAGAAGAAATGCTAGTGCTGGCGCCATTTTGGAGTGAGTGGCCTCATCATCGAATGGTTATTGACAGAGAACTGATCTGCTGCAGGTGGATTTCATTTCCAATTCAGCGCGGGACCAAAAGTGAGAATCATACCCGTCATATCAGCGGAAGAGAACGTTCTGAGCGAGAAAGTCGTTGACGACCTCGAAGAAGCTTTTGCAAAAGGCTCCAAGATCAAGGGTGTAGTCCTCTGCAACCCACATAACCCTTTGGGACAGTGTTACCCACGAGAGGCGCTGGAAGGTATCGCCAAGTTCTGCGAGAAGCATGAGCTACACTTGATCTCCGATGAGATCTATGCTCTATCGATGTTCCAGTCGAAAGATATCCCGGACCCGATTCCATTCGTGTCTATGTTGAGTATCGACCTGGCTAGTCTTGGTGTTAGCCCAGCGAGGGCTCATATTATCTGGAGTTTGAGCAAAGACTTTGGATTGAGTGGCTTGCGAATGGTACGTTTGGGTCGTCTCGAGTATTCGTCTTAGCGAAGACATAGAATTGACGTGCCGTGTAGGGAGCCATGGTCAGCCAACACAACCCTGCAATTGTGTGTGCCGTGGCCATTACAGCCAACACCCAAGTCTCCAGTTTGACAGCCATTGTTGCAACTGCCCTCCTACAGGATAGCCCTGTAATGGATCAATTCGTATCGATGAGCCGCGAACGGCTATCAGTCGCATACGCCACCATGACAGAACAGCTCCGCGAGCTGGGAATCCGCTACATTCCCGCGTGCGCGGGAATCTACATCTGGGCAAGGTTATCGAGCCAAGTCACTTCCTGGGAACAAGWGGCGCRGTTGGCGGCTGTGTTGGCGGAGAAGAAGGTTGCTGTTAGTTCGGGGAAATCTTATTCTGCGAGCGAGCCGGGCTGGTATCGATTGAGCTTTGCGCTCAAGGATGATCAGCTTCAGGAGGGTTTGAGGCGGTTGGTGTCGGGGATCGAGACTTTTGAGGTTGTTGACAGCCACAATGATTCACCTCGCCAGAGCTGATGCTATTGAGAAGAAGAGTGGAAATTTGAACTATTGTATGTTTTGAGTCACTGTTCGTTGAACAAGCTCTTGGATCAATATTCCATCATGTTGCGCTTCCCAAGGCCCACGAGCTCATACATCATGTGATATTGAATTCTCATCATCAAATTTCTTCTATACCAGTAAACCCGCCTTTTCGCTGATATCATCACCACCACCACCAACTCCATCCATCCCATCTCCCCTACCCCAGAAAGGAGCATGCACACAATCATGATATGCCCACATGACATAAACGACCAAACGAACAACCTGTCCCACTCCCGCAGGCACATTCCCATCCGGCCCAAGACTCCCCAAAGCCATCTTCTCCACAAGAAGCATAACAGGAGTCCAAAACGCCAAAAACAACAAAGCGCCAAGTCGACGCATCATACCACGAGAAGTCCGATAGATCGGCAACCGATGCAGAAATCGACAATACTCCTCCGGTAACTTGGCGTCCACGGCTCCATTGAGCACCAAATCCTGTAAACTCATCAACAAAACAACTCCAAAGTCTTGTAACCTGCGAAAAGTGATACAACGAACCATATACCTCTGACTAGCAGCAGCAGCCGGCGACCTCTGCATAACAGTCCCCAAAGTCCTAACGACAAATTCCTCACCAGTAACTTCCCGATCCTCTTCCACAGCAGGAACAGCCCTCAGCGCGATATCTTTATAAGCGATCCCCCCACCCTCAGAAGCGACGAGGTGAATATACTGCTCAGCAGTAATGAGATACGCCAAACCCACCACTTCCACGGGGTTAATCTCTACCCCTGAGATGGGACGAATGGTCGTATAAGCAGGTTCTTTGTAAGGCGTGCCTGGGATTTCGAGAGTTAGAGTCCAGTTGGGGATTTTTGCTCGGGCGGTTTTTAGGGGTGCGATTCCGCGGGAGCCGGTGAATTTCGAGGCGCTCATGTTGGAGCCGTAGGCGAAGTACCAGATCTTATTATCTGATTGGGGTCGCATTGTTTGGTGTTGGAATTTGTGTCTGGATGTTTGGGAATGTTCGTTCCTGTGGGGATGATTTAGGTGTTTGTCTGTTGTGTGTGTGTGTGTGTGTGTGTGTTTCTTTGGGTTGTTGTCTCTATGGAGGTTGTATTTTGGTTTGAATTCTTCTTTGTTCGGATCCCGATAATAAAGTGCAGAGTGTGAGAAATTAGTGGACGTCGTTTATTGGTATCTTGCTCGGAAACCGAGATTGACCCAGTCGTAGCGTTCATTGCGGTTTTACAAACATGTCGCCTAGCTTTCGTTCACGCATCTCGCGTTCGAATCGCCACTAGATGTCGTAGGGTTGCCGCTACGACGATCCACTCAAGGGAAAATCAATGTCATCTGCGGGAGGTACCAAACAGTCACAATGGAATCTTGGTCGATTGACATATCTCATCTCATCATAATTCTATATCGAAACTACACTGCATGTATCTACTGGCCTTGCTGAACTTGCATTGCCGCACCATTCGCAGCGAACAAGCCCATGGAAATGCCTCCCGCCACAACCTTGAACGGGCTAGCACAGTCGCCCGCAGCAAAGACGCCCTTTACTGAAGTCTCGTTGAAAGGTGGGTTAACTTTCAAGTCTGCACCAGGCGTCATTTCCACACCTAATTGCTCCGCCCATGGTCCATTCATCTTGCTTCGAGGCTTGTGGGCAACGAAGCCAAATGTCTCCTTGCTACCATCCTCGAACTCGACAATTACATCGGAAGGGTGGTTAGGCACTTTCACGAAGCGTGCGATGCGCCTCGCATCGACCTTGAGATTTTTCTCTGCGGCTTGATCCTTCACCTCCTCGGTCAGTGCGGTGTTCCCGTGCGTGAGAATCGTCACGGAATCTGCGAGCCGCTGTGCCATGCAGCCCACGGCAATGGAGTGCATGACATCCCCCATATCTTCAACGGCCAAGATTGCTGCTTGAGGAGTACCACGCTCTTCGAAGCCATGGCAGAACAAGCAGTGGTAACTTTGAACGAAGCGTCAGTAAATTGGTCGCATTTGATAGCAACGTCAGTACTTACATTCCATGACCCCAGCAATCATCATAGCCGGCAATTTCGGGATACAGATCTTCTACACCAGTCGCCAGTACGACTTTCTTCCCAATGTACTTCTCGCCGCCCGAGACTGTCGCCTGGAAGGTTCCGTCGTCCAGCTTTGTCAACTGCTCGACTTTGGCATCGACAAAGCGAGTGGTTTCGTATCGTTCAGTAAGATCACGACGACCGGCAGCACGGAAATCTGCCGGATCCTTGTGGTCCCAAGTAGGAAGGTTGTGCATGTGCTTGGATCGGTCATTGCGGTAAACACCGTGGTCGAAGACGATGCAAGGATGCATCAATCGGTTCAGGGCCGTGGCGGCGGAGATACCAGCCGGACCACCGCCGATGATGAGGACATCCTGAGTGGGGGATGAGACGGTCATGGTTGATATGCGGGCTTTGTTGTTGTTGTTGTTGTTGCTGTTGTTGTTGGTAGTGTTCTCGAAATAGATTGAGGTGTTGGTATTGCAGAGATGATGTGTGCCAGATGATAGAAGTTGCAATCGACGAAGAGCCTTGCAAGGTCCTTTAATACCCAACGCCATGGCTACCGCAGCCATATGACGTCCCGACGAAGGCTTTGTACACGCTGTAATATGTTTCCGACGCTCGGAGACATTTTTGACTTTGTATGTCGGTGACCGAGATGAGGAACGTCTTGCATATCAGAGCCGCGCAACCGGTGCCGTATCGATGTGAGGCAACATCGACGACGACGACGACGACATGTCGGYACCGCACAGCATCGACGACAACATGTTCACGCTGCGGGCGGCGACGCTCGCAGACCTCCCGCAGCTGGTAAAGCTCGCCAGCCCGCCCTTTGCCACCGGAGCCATGCAGGAGGCTGGCCTGGTGTTCAGCCGCCACGAGATCGAAACATACCTTGCATGGCGCCTGCCTCGTTTACTTTCCGATCCAGCCGTGGTTATTCTGGTCTTGCTCTTTCACCCCGTAAACTCATTCAAAAAAGTCTCCGCGAAACCCGTCGGCTGTACGATCGTCCGGCTCGGCTCGGCCCGCGCATCGCCCGGACTTCCCTGTAAATCAACTCCCTCTCTCTCTCCCCCTTCCCTCTCAGGCCATCGACTAACAACACAGATCGCGACGTCATGTCCATATTTGCGACACGCACCATCTCCGACATGCTGGTGTGGCCTGATACACATGTGGCCGAAGTGCATTCCCGCTTTGAAGCGGTACGCGCCCAACTTGAGGCTTCTCTACCACAAGATCGCTCCGCCGTGCTTTTCTACCACATAGACCCTGAGTTCCAAGGTATCGGACTGGGAACAACGATGCTCTCCGATGCGGTGGTGCAGATTGCAGAATTGGATACCCGCAAGGCGCCCTTGATGGCTGTACTTCGCGATGCAGATGTTGGATTTGGTCAAATCGCGGGATTTCAATCCGTCAAAGGCCTGGGTGGTCTCAAGCTGTACGAGTCGTCTGCTTTGGCGAGCGGTTGATATTATGGTCGCTGCTACTGAATTGAACAATACGAAGTTGAATCATCGCCACTGATAACTTTTTCTCGTGAATTCTCGGTCTCCGGTTGCAGACTTTAAAGCGTTCTACTCATCCTTGCCCTTTCACAGTCTTTCACATTTATTCACATCCTTCCGAATAAACATAACCCTTCCATGCTCTCCTCCATCCATCCACCGGCCCTCGAAGCCCGCGCTCCTCTACCCGCCGCATTCATCCCATGTTTCTTCCTAACCCTAATATCATCAATCCTGCTACCACCAGGAATAGCGCGGAAATCCATCATAACAACTCTAGTCATAACCTTCCTAATCTCAAGCTTCCACTACACAGGCGGAGTAGATGTCGATTACCAAAACTTCACAATGCTTCTCTCATCCGCAATCATGTGGATCGAGTTTGGCGTTCAGGGAAACCTCGAGCAAGATCTCTTCCGAAATTGGGAAAAAGGGTCTTCTGATCAACCAACCCCCGTACAGCAGAGACGCTGGTGGCAGAAATTAGCATGGAGCTTTGATCTCTGGACGACTTGGCGTGGTCCGGGGTGGAATTGGCAGTCTGAGCGCACACCAAAACTCGGTGTCCATGTTGTAGACAGGAGGTGAGAGAGAGAAACGACATCCAAAAACGGGTTATGTCCTCTGCTGACAGTCTTGTTGTAGAAGTTTCTTACTCGAGAATGTTACACGTGGAGTATATTGCTGGATCATGAGCCKGGCACTACTCTACTTCCTCCACCTCACACCCTACACGCAGCCAGAAGAAAGCCGGGAGCATCTTCTCTCGGCACCTCTATACATGCAAGTGGCCGTTGCTTGGGCCGCGGCTTTATACACGCAATACCATCAAAGTCTTGCATATCGAGCTTTCACTTCAGTACTCGTTGCTCTGGGAATATGTTCTCCATTACAGTGTCCACCACTCTTCGGATCCTTTCGCGAGATGTACACTGTGGGCAAATTATGGGGATCTTGTTGGCAGCAACTGATGCGTAGAGTAAGTATATTCATTGTATCGTACTTGAAAGGTTTGTCTTGCTAATCTGTTTGTTTGTATAGGCAAATTTGTTCCTCCCTAAACTTATTCTTCCCACCTTGGCACTCTCTCGACTGGTTGATAAGTATGCTCGATTAATCCTAGTCTTCGCGGTTTCTGGGACTATTCATGCTTTAGGTGCCTATTGTGYCACGAGAGGATCTCTAGGTGATTATAGAATGTTCCTGTCACAGGCTGCGGCTATTATGCTGGAGGATATTGTCATCGCAATCGGAAAATTTCTTAGAGTTGGAAAGTCTCGTAAGTCTTCCATCACCATCGCATTCGCAATCTCATGCTCGTGTTTGTATTAATAAGAACTCGCGCAGGATGGACGGTTTCTTTGGGTTTCTGCTGGACTATATTGTGGTTCAGCTACTGTTTGCGGTTATGGATCGGAGAACTGCTTTGGGCTGGGATGCTTGCTTCAAGCGGGCAATAGGGGATGTATTCTACCGTGACTTGGCACACATCTACGCGAATTGAAAAGTTTAGGCAGCGAAAGATGGTCAAATGCGTTTTCGATCATTGAATGCCGTTGTTGTGATTTAGATCTGAAGCGCCGTTCCATTCTGCCAGCAGTCTGAGTGAGAGCATTTGTCCTAGCCGGCAGCCCGAGTTCGAACGCTCATATGAGACAGCAGTCTGGGCCGTCACAATTTTTCGGGACACCGATGGCTGCTGAACACTCATCGTGGACTCCAGTAGGCGCAGTCATTGCGCAGCAAGGAACCAGTCGAACGCTTGTCACCGCTCCAAGATTGAAGTTGAGGGCCTTGTCATGCATAGGTTGGCCTGCCCGGGAGGAATACCTCAGTGAGAACTCCATCGAATATTGATGTCGCAGCGGTTAAGCGGTGGTCTGGGATTGCATTCGAGCCGGTGCAGAATCAAGATCGAGGCATTTCTGAGTGTGATGGGGAAAGAGGGACTCTAGACAATTTGCAGCGAGCTATCGCTGCGATACTTCGTCACCTGAGCGTCACGCTGAGGTGTATCATGAATAGATTCTAATTGTCATTCCTCATACCGCATTAAAGAATTTCCAACGGAAGCTGTCTCCCAAGACATTACATTCAGACCTTCTCCCTCTCTYTTTCAGTTTCCGCCTTGACACCCTCGAAGTCGCTGCTGCGATCCGAATCATTACTACCCCCCTGCTCAGAAGAACCCTGCTCTTCATCCTGTGCACTTGAGCCCTCCTTGTTTTCCTTGTAAAAGAAAACAAAGACCAACAGTCCAGCAATCGCAAAACCAAACAAGAACCAGTACGCGCCTCTATACCCCTTCAACAACCCATCCGCGGTCTGTGGCTTCGGTGTCAACGCATCAGCAATCGCATTCGCGAAAGCCAGCATGATGGCGCTACCCGCCTGGTATGATACCATCAGCGTGGCAGTAGCTTGTCCATGCTGGGAAGGCACGATGGTGCTGAGCGTGACGCCTTGAGCTCGCACGACCGCGGGTGCATTGCCAAATAGGTATAGCAAGGCGAACAGGTAGATATAGACGGGATGGACGTTGAGTTGGATGAGAGCCCAAGGGATTGTGAATGCTGCGGTCCAGATGTATGCGCCGCCGATTTGGATCCGAGCTGAGACTCGGGTACTGAGGAAACTTCCTAGGGCGCCAGAGAAGATGGAAGCTACGGCTGCAGGCTAGAATGGGCTGTGTTAGCTTTGTATAACAAACTGTTGACATATTGATGTAAAGCTTACGAGAAGATAGATTGCGGACTTGAGCGCGGTGAGCTTCATGGCGTTGAGGAACACCTGAGTGACAAGAAAGAACCAGGTTGCGAAGCCACCGCCGAAGATGACAAAGTTCAGTACCATCAGAGCCATGTTACTGTCGTTGAAGAAAGGCTTGGGAATCAATGGATTCTGCAAGCGACGCTCATAGAAGGGAAAGGACAATAACAGAAGTGCTCCGATGATTAAAGGAGCGAGGATACCAGCAGTCGCCCATCCCTGAGCCTCGCCACGGTTGACTCCATAGATCAGAAGTGGAAGACCACAGAGGAAAATGGCGAGTCCACCMAAGTCGAACTCCCGCAGTGCGCTCTGTACTGGTGCCGAGAAGACTGGGATCGTCAAGAAACCGGCGAGGCAGAGGAAGCCGTTGACTGCTAGACCCAGCCAGAATAGTGCTGGCCATCCAGTGGGCGACTCTGTTGCAAGTATCAGCATTCGTGGCCGGTAGGAAGGGCGAGCATACTACATGCCGACAAGAAGAGCTCCGAAGATCATCCCTGAAACCATGCCCAAAGGTCCGCACATGATGAGCAATGCAAGAGCTTTATTGCGAGTCTTCTCATCAGGGAATAGATGACTGACGATGGGAGGTCCCGTGGCAGTCTAACCATTAAAGAGTCGATTAGCAGGTCTTCCTAGATTGTAAACATGATCGAAAGACTCACGCATAAGGCAGCTCCAATACCACACAACGCCCTCCCAACAATCAAAGCATTCTTATTCGGCGCCGCAGCACAAAGAACACTCGCACCAGTAAGGAAGAAATTCCCAACCACGAATCCGAATCTTAGTCCGAATCTGTCGGCCAACGCGCCGGRGATGGGCAGCATGGTAGCATATGCTAGACTRTATCCAATCACCACCCAATTGATATCAAAGGGTGTGAAATCCAACGCGTCGGAAATGGCTGACAGGCCAAAATTCACCATGGTGACTTGGAATGTGTCGATGTATAGAGCCATGCATGCCATTCCGGTCGCTGCCCATGCTAGGTATGCTGGTCGCGTTGCTTCCCTTTCGAGGGTTAGCCAGGGTGGGGTCGGTAGTATAGACATTGTGTGGTGGCGTAATAGGGGGCGTGGAACCTAAAGGTGAGCTGTACGATGGATTGAGTGTCAAATGTAGAGGGGAGCAGAGCAGGGGTATTAAAAGGGCATCGACCGGAGACTTTTGCAGGTGTTCCCTGAGGTCATTCACCTGTTTAGTCTCCGTGATGATCATTTATTACCCGAAGGAGTTAGATTCGGTGGGAAATTGACGCTTCTCATTGGATATGACTCACAAGCTTTTGGATCTGCAAAACCTACATGTGCTCTGCATTTCTCCATCTCTCCGTTCTGTGCTGCACAGGTTTTGTCATATTGAGTAGCGTGGTGATCTTGAAGCTGTTTGAGAAACACACAGGTAATCGCCTTCTCTTCCTTATCTTTTCAATTGGCCTAGCCGTACAACGTACAACATGAGGAGAAGCAGACGAAAGAGTAATCGTACGTCGCATCCCGAGACGACGCATCAAGTGCTATCATAAGAGCCAAGTTCAACGACTTCTCACAGATCACAGATCCTCGCAGATCTACCATCTGCCGTGCGATTAGAAAATGTATATCAGCTCCATGAATGACGTAGCGTTGAAATGGTCGGTCACCGAGAAATCACAGCCAGCAACTCTCCCAATAGGCTTCACTCAGGAAGTCAAATCTACGCCATTCAGAATGTAGGCATTGATCGAGATACCTCCGTTCCAAGAACCATCCAGCAGACTACACCATCGAAATGTACATGCATTTTCGACTCCAAACAAAAGACTCCAGCCGTTGGATCAATGAAGACATTCGCCCRCTACCACCAGATCGACGGAAATGGACAACACGCACATACATTGGCTTCTGGCTAGCCTGGCACGTCTCCATTATCAATGTCACAATTGGATCCGGACTGGTAGCCCTCGGACTAGCCGTATGGCAAGTCATGATTGCAATCATCGTAGCTCGAGCAATCATCGCAGCAGTGGCCATTCTCTGCGGCTACATTGGCGCAGACTGGCATATTGGATTCCCCGTCTACTCGCGAGCTCTCTGGGGAATGTATGGATCCTATGTTCCCGTCATCCAGCGAATTCTCTGTGGGATTGTGGGAATTGCTGTACAGTCTTACTTTGGTGGGACTTGCATCGTCGCTATACTCAGTGCCATCTTTCCATCTTTCCACCGCATGGCAAACTCACTACCAGCATCGGCAGTAGTTGACACGAAGTCACTTATCGGATGGATCCTGTTCAACCTCATGACAATAGCTTTTGTAATCGGCAGACTGGAGCGGACGCAATTCGTCCGAATCTTTGTCTGGCTCAACACTTACTCTTTCCTTACTTTCCTCGCCATTATGATCTGGACTCTGGTGCGTGCTGGTGGAGGGGGACAACTGTTATCAAACGGATCTCTCCCAAACGTGGATGTGGGCTGGGGTATGTGTCAAGCCATTACGACAGTCGTGGGATCCATCGCTATCGGACTCATGAGCCAGCCTGACTTTACACGCTTCGCYAATACGTCTCGGGCTCAGGTTACTGGTCAGTGGACGTCAATCATGATATTTGGCACCCTGATGCCTTTTATTGGCTGCGTAATTGCATCTGCAACGGCATCCATATATGAAAAGCCCATTTGGAACCCAACGGAGCTACTGCTACAGTGGCTCGCAGATGAATACAGCCCAGGCTCACGAGCAGCCGCTTTCTTTGCCGGTCTTGGTCTTTTGGCTTCTCAATTGGTCCTGAACTCTTTGGAGAACTGCTTCAGCACGGGCATAGATCTCGCTTGTATCGTTCCAAAGTATCTCAACATTCGACGAGGTGCTTTGCTTGCCTTGGCCGTGGCTTGTACGGCCTGTCCGTGGCAACTGCTCACCAACGCTTCGACTTTCCTCAACATCGTGTCCTCGTATACGGTCGTTGTCGCCCCAATGTTGGGGATCCAAATATGCGACTATTGGATCCTGCGCAAACGTCGTGTTCAGTTATCGGCTCTTTATGACTCTGATCCTCAGGCTGCATACTATTACTTTCATGGCTGGAACTGGCGACCAATCTTGGTCTGGATTGTTTCGTGGACGCCACAGCTTCCGGGATTCATCAACGCCATCGAACCAAGTATACAAGTTCCGATTGGCGCCACGAGACTATTCCAGCTTTCTTTCCTTTTTGGTGGAACCCTGGGTTTCTGTCTATTCTACATTGTCAATTTGGTGTTTCCTCCTGGTAACATGGGCCAGGTTGATGATGTGGACTACTTTGCAACTTTCTCCTCCTCTGAGTGGGATCTGATGGATATAAAGAATGAAACCGCGCTCAATAAGCATGGCTCAGATATAGGAAAGGTATCAAACGAATCTCAGGAGCAGGCCGGAGAGCGCGTTTGAATAAGGACTAGATAGGCTCAAATGGGATTGCTTCGCTGCATGTTTGTGCATTGCCAAGACTGCGACCGATTCACTTTCCCTACCTCTCCTGGTTCGAAGGCAGGAGGTGCGTATTTCTCGTCTGTTATAGAGAAGCCTGGGGAACCGAGCTGAGTAACCAGACAGTCAAAAGTCGCTTCAGCTGTAAGAGCGAGATTACATCGACCAAGAATCATCCTACGATGACTTTGCGTCAAGTTCCGTTAGATTTGGTTTCCCAGCGCGGGCGATACCCAACAAGATGCTCAATCGGTGGTAGCTATTTGAGTTTCTCTCCCGGTTAGATGCTTTGCTAAGAATTCTCTCCCAAATCATTGGGAACCGAAAGAAGACTTGTCGTCGGACGAAGATTTCGTTGCCCTTTCTCCTAGTGCCTTTGAGAGGATTGGCCCATGGACGAATTGAATGCGAGATAGGGGTTACTGGCTCTGTGACGTAGCGAGACTCAAAGATAGCGAAATGCAATTTTTGCCACGGGTCCATTGAGATAGAAGTCAGGAGCCGGGTAATGAATGTAGCATCTGAGCACCAGCGCTCAAAAGAAAGTCTGTTGAACAAAGACCTCTCCGACCAGCTCGGTAGTAGCCTGGTGGACGGTCCTCTCAGTCAGACCCTTTGTCATGGACTACTTTCCTAATGATTCGGAACTCCAAGACTTGTCGAATAATGACGTCCAAGACTCTCAATTCATGGTGATATCCTCGCACTGACAGTGCTGCCCATCGGGGCTGGTTCGAAATGAAGGATGCTCCACCAAATTTTGAGTCTTGACTTTTCCCGGTCCCCGAGATACCTCACTCAGCAATCCTCACCCAGAACCCGAGAACAGGTATGATAATACCCACAGCATCCAGGGAATAGGACGAGTCTGTCTCAAAGATTCTCCTTTTTCTAAAATTCACCATGGACGCCACATTGGAATGCTTGAACAACGTGCTCTCCTTGACACTTCGAAGCTTGAACTCCAAAGAGCTTACGGATGAACGCAACAATGCTTTGCACAACCATGAGCCAGGAGCGCTTCCAAACGCCAAGACCAGTAAACTGGCCAACCAGAMAGTCGACCTGTTGCAAAAGATCGAACAGATGCTTGAGCCAAGCTACTTGGTGCTCGCCGACCACTACTTGGGTAGGTCCATCCACCAAACACGCCATCTTTTTTTAAATCTCCGGACTGACCTTCTTTCCCAGGTTACGTACATGCCAAGTGTCTCGTTGGTGCTGTCGAGCTGGACATCGCAGACCATCTGCGAGACAACGGGGCCAWGAAAGTGGAAGATTTGGCCAAAAAGGCCGGCGCTCGTCCAGACCGACTCTTCCAGATCCTGCGTGTCCTCAGCAGCAATGGCATATTCTCACTCGACACCGTGACGACTATCATCCAGAACAACAGCGTTTCGGAACTCCTGCTCAAAGACCACTGGGCCCAATGGCACAATTGGGTCACGCTTTACGGCAACCAATTCTATGACATGGCGAATGGAATTCCGGCCTCTTTGAAGCACGACGCAAAGCGGAACCCAGCGCAGATCCAGTACGACACCGACAGCGATATGTTCACCTACTTTAACAGCCAAGGCTGGGTCGGCCAGCTTCATCGCACTCTCGGAGCTGGCGCTGCGGCTCAAGCTCCCGGCATCATCGCCGATTATCCATGGGCGGACATCGCCAATGAGACCGTCATCGACATCGGAGGTGGTGGCGGAGGATTCCTTGCCATGCTTCTTCGTGCCAATCCCACGCTCCGGGGAGGAATTTACGATTTGCCACATGTCATCGAACATGCGGCGCCTTTTTTCCACACTCCTGAAGGCCAATTCGCCGATGTTGGAGATCGGGTGTCTCCTGAGAATCTCATCGGAGGTGACTTCTTCGCGAGCATTCCCGCTTCGAAAGTGTACACGATGAAGTGGACCTTGCACGACTGGCGCGAGGCTGATGCCATACGCATCTTGGAGAATATCAGCAAAGCCATCATTCCTGGGCCGAACAGCCGCTTGGTCATCTTGGAGTCGATTCTCGACACCACTCGCAGTTCGCGACTGACTCGATACGGCGACATGAACATGATGATTGCTGCAGATGGTATTGAGCGCACTTTGAAAGACTGGCAGACGGTGGCGGACAAGGCTGGCTGGACCATTAGCAAGGTGTACACGTTGAGAAACGCGTGGCATGGTGCCTTTGACCTGGTGCCCAAGTCTTGGGGCAAAGCACCTCTAGTGTAAGGTAATGTTAGATCACAGTGCATAGCTTTCTCGCGAGATTTGAGATAGGAGAAATAGACGTAGTCCGCAAAATCAGAGCTTCTTTTTCGAGGAAGGGTGTCATCAACTCAGCAATTCCCTGCGGAAGTCCTACGAGGTTGCCGGTACCACAAACTGACTCATGTGGGCCAAGCCAGCGCTCATGAAGAGCCCTGTGAAGCACGACGGCGAAGCAACGCTCAAGGCCTGGTGGAATTGAAGGCTGCCAACCTAACTCCAGCATAAAACGATGTTGCTCTTTTTGCAACGACGATGCAAAGATCAGGAGGATGTTGTGCGAAACTCTCCGCAAGGCTGCTCCTGTTTGTGCTCGGAGCCGATTGTTCGCCCCCGCCGTCGTTGACTCACTACAAGGAGAACCGTCAAACACATTTCAACCAACCCTTCGCTGCACATGGCGAGCTCTGCCACCGATTGCTCCAGTCCGAAAGTGTGGAAATCCACGTGAGGCGTACTGCCACGTGAACAGCCACGCACTAAACACGATGCAGCTAGCAACCCAGCTCGTGGCAAGTCATCGTGCCCAGAGGTCGGATTCCGAGAGCACCGTGGCTGGCTAGCAAGTCGTGTTGCAAAGACTTCGTCGAAGTCGAACAATTCGATGCCCTGGCAGCCAATCGTCGGGGTACGTAATGACAAACGAAGCTAGGCAGCGCTGTTGTAAGAGAGCAATGAATCAGGACCTCGCGGTAAGGGGAAGACGCGAAGTTGCCCCGACTCCCAGCTCCTTCAACAGCCAGCCGTCTCATACCTCGCCGCAGACATCCAGGACAGTACCCCGAATCGGGTCCCGAGAATGACGTAGTAAGAAGGAAAGGTCCTTTTGAATCCGCTTCATCACCAGCATCAGAACCTCTTATTGCCCTCCTACACTTATGTCAAATGATTGCAGACGAGCGTCCAGAATATCCATTCACGCAACCAACTACCTCCACCCGTCATGACGGTCAAACGCATGTCTGAGCGAGAGTACATACTCGCCGTGCTAGCGAAAGCGCTGAACGTCAGCGTTCCCTCGCTGGACATCTCCAAGAGCTTTACAGAACTGGGTGGCCACTCCTTGTCCGCTGTGGAGGTACAGCATGGCTGCAAGAATGGAAAGCTGGCGAACTCGCCCTCAGTACTATCGTTGCTAGTATCGCCAAGCATTGAAGCACTGCTGCCAGATGACGAGACCGAGATCAGGTGTTTGAAACCTTTGCAAGAGGTGGCTCCCGTGAAACTCACAGCCAAGGATCCCCTACAGTCCTCTGATGGCATCCAAGCCCACGCCGTGTCAGAGATTGACAATGGTTGCGTTGTGCCGGCTCTGGAGGAACCCGTTGTGCAGAATGTCAAACTTGGCACAATCCAACACTGCTCGGCGATAGAAGCTCCTGCGACAGACATGCAAGCCGGGCTCATTCGCGGATGCCGCAGCACTATTAATTATTATGAGACRTGGACCCTGGTCGATGTAGTTCTGATACAGCATGCCTGGAAGAAGGTGATTGCGGTTGAACCGATATTCCGCACAGAATTCTTCGAAAACGACAGCGGTGAACTCATGATGCGGCTTGAGGATCAGCACGGGAGCCAGATAGAGTGGGATGAAACCTTTACTTTTGACCAGCAAAGCTATCAAGCGGCAATCGACAAGGTCTTGGCACAGACACAGAATGGGCCAGCATTCCACTTCCACACCATCGTCTTCGCAGCGAAGGACACAGGCCGAAGTGAGGCAACAATCGTGCTATCAGTTCATCACGCACTGCTGGACGGCTGCTCGATGGATCTGCTGGTGGAGAAGGTGCGACGTGCAGCATCAGGAGGGCCGCTCGCAGGGCCGGGCACGTCTTTCCTGAATGCTGCAACGGAAGTCAAGAAGCTTCACCAGCACTACGGCGCAGATGCGGAGGAATTCTGGAGAGGTCGGCGGATGTCACATCCGAATGCAACCCCTTCTATGGGTCTCGCGCCGCCCAGCATGGCAGACAATACGCCTGGGAAGGGTGAAGTCAGCATGAGCTTCAGTCATCTCCAAGGGACGCTAGAGGCGCAGTGTCGATCGCTCGGCGTCACGGTAGCGGCATTTTTCCACGCAGCCTGGGCGCTTGTGCAGGCAGCGTATAGCGACTCCGACGACGTTGTTTTGGGCACCATTCTGAGCGGAAGAAATCTGCCGGTCACCGGCATTGGCTCGGTGGTTGGTCCACTGGTGAACTCACTTCCCCTGCATGTGTCAATCGCGCGAGACATGGAAACCGCCGAATTCGTCCAGCAGGTCTTTGTTGATTTGGCGGAGATGTCTGGTTTTCAATGGAGCACGCCTGCGCACGGATTCGAGCGGGAGTTTGAAGCCGCGTTATCAGTCTCCTGTGGTTTGAAGTGTCCCAGCAATGCCAAGCTGCAGCCGCTCCAACCGCCAACCTATGTGTTTGAGAGCAGCATACCTCTCAGTATAGCCTTGGACCAGGCGTCACTATCTATGCGTCTCGTCTATCATACTCAGCGCTATGACCGACAGATGGCAGAAGGGCTGGCGGACAGCTTTGTRAGTGCACTGACGGGACTCGCTAGCAGCAGTACCGGCACGGTGCAGCAATGTCTGAGCAACGTGATGACAGTACCCATGCAGGGCCATCTGCGAGTACTCGGGAATTGCCTATCAGGCGCGACCACACGTGCAGCGCACGAGACCCAAGATCTTGTCGACGTGTTTGACGAGGCAGTGAAGCAAAACGGCGCGAAGACTGCTCTCGATGTGGGAGAAGGGTGTATCTGGACTTACTCCGACGTCAATGAACAATCACGCCAACTGGCCGCGGAACTCGCCCGGATGGGACTCCAGCCGGGTGACGTAGTGTGCGTTCATGCTGACGGTAGCGCTTCGTGGGTACTCGGGCTACTAGCTACGCTTCGCGCAGGTGGTGTCTTTTGTAGCCTCGATGCCAGCCTTCCGCATGCCCTTCGATCCGCAATGTTCAGGACATCCGGCAGTCGCGTCTGTGTCGTCGGCCAAGAATGGCAGCGGAAGTTCCTACCCGAGGATGATGTGCCATGCCTTGTGGTTGAGACTGCGTTGCAAAAGAGGGCTGGCGATATCACATCGGAACCCAGTCGTCTCAGTCATCCTGAGACCACGCGAATCTGTCGTGCCCGCGAGCCCGCCTATCTATGCTTCACATCAGGGTCGACCGGCACGCCAAAAGGAGTGCTCTGTACGCACCAAGCCCTCGTGGCTTTCCAGAAAGATGAAGCGGTACGACTGGGTGCCCGGACTGGCGTGCGCATAGCACAATTCATGTCTCCAGGCTTTGATGGGAGCATCCATGAGATATTCTCGGCGCTCTCTTATGGAGCAACGCTGGTCCTGCGTCGCAACGTCGACCCCTTTGAAGTTCTGTCGCGCGTGGATAGCGCCATCATGACTCCATCTGTAGCGCGCACAATCTCCCCGCAGGAGTTCCCAAATCTGCAAAGAGTGAGCCCTCTGCGACTATCGGTAGTTCTTGGAGCTAATGAAAACGCAGGTCTACCTCGTTGGTGAGCAGGTTCCGGCAACAGTCGTTTCGCAATGGGCGCCCGGCCGGTATTTAGGCAACATGTATGGTCCAACTGGTGAGTATTGATGATCATCGCTTTCGTGGTAGAAAGTTCATACTGATCAATTCTCCAGAGGGTACCGGCGGAGCGACCATTACCCAACTGTTCGCAAATCAGCCCGTCACCATCGGACGTCCCAATCCGACATCGCGCGTGTACATCCTCGGCCGGCGTGGGCAATTATTGCCTCGAGGCGCCATTGGAGAGATCCACATTGCCGGTGTCCAGATTGCGCTTGGATACATCAACAACCCATCACAGACGGCAGAGCGCTTCACACCCGATCACATCTGTCCGGGGTTGGGAGAGAGCATGTATGCGACTGGCGACCGCGGCTACTGGGACGCAAGTGGATCACTCGTGTGTATAGGCCGCAACGACCGGCAGTTGAAGTTGCGAGGCTTTCGCCTCGATCTCGACGACCTAGAGGCCAGAATCCTCAAAGGCTGTCCCGACGTTGAGGCGGTGGCGCTCACGCGCGCTCATGACAATGGCAATACCTTGGTCGCGATGCTACGGCCGGAGACACTCTGTCCAGTGGCCACTCGGTGCCAATTAGGGAAGATCCYGCCCGCTCCGGCGGTCCCGTCTGCGGTCCAATGCGTGAGGAGTCTGCCGACGACCCGGAACGGCAAGGTCGACCTGAAAGCCGTCGCCGCCCAGATGAATGGCACCAACTAGATGGATATCTCGCCATATGTATGACTCTAGATAGACTTGATAATTTCAGATTGAGGACCAGACGAACGGCGTCAACTTGTGGTATGGTGGTGTTGATGAAGTTACCTAGTGGTCAAGATGTGGGGCTGAAGATTATTTGGCTTGGATGGTTTTGAGTTTCGTCCCACGACTTCTTTGAACTAGAGCGCTCGACGTACACATCGCTGTCGCACTTCTCACTGCAACCATCATGTACCCAAGTTATCATCTACACTACAACGCGGCGCAAGACCTCCGCTCAACCTCATCTCCAATGCCTTCGGCCACAAGACTCATCCTTGAAGATGAGCGATCAAGAGCTACTGATAACCTCCTTCCGAGACCTCTCACCCCGCTATACTGCCTTTGCTGAGCAAGACGACGAAGATGGCAACCCGATCTACTTGTTCTCGTCATTTGGCTTCTTCACGCCTGAATACGATGCATACTTTGGGCAGTCAAAGTCGAAGGTAACTACCTTAAGCGTAGAAGAGATCAAGGGATGCCTCCAGCGTCTGCCAGACGACGACGTTTATCCTAAGATACCAACATCCGCTATTACAACCTTCTGGGGACCTATAGACGAGAAGATCTTTCTCAAAAAGCCGAAACTGAATATTGTTTTCATTGGCACTGGTTTACTACCTAAGCTTATGCTACAGGAAGTGGAGACTCTGGAACTTCTTATACGTATGCCACATCCAAACATTATACGCTATCACGGTTGCCTCACCAAGCGTGGACGAATTGTCGGACTTGCCTTCGATCGTTACGAAGACACACTTCAACAGCGACTTGAAAGGATTCGCCACATCGACGTTGACCGCTTCATAGTACAGATTGAGTCTGCGCTCGAGCATCTTCACATGCTCGGCTTAGCGCACAATGATGTAAATCCGATGAACATTATGATTGACGATGAAACGCCGTATCTTATAGATTTCGGTTCTTGTCGTCCTTTTGGATGCAAGCTCATTACAGCAGGTCTCCCGGGTGGATTGACGAGGACTACTCGACATCAGCCAGGATCAATGACGAGACCGCTTTGAAGAAGCTCAGGACCTGGCTTATGAAGGAGCGGGAGAATCTGAAAAAGAAATCATCGGATCTCGGGCATATTTGATTTCGACCACGATGAATCTCAAGCATAGGGAATACGACCCCAAGCTGTGAGGGACCCCGGTTGTTCTCCTTCCACCTATCGTTGTCCTTCATGCATTCATCCCGAGGTCGTTACGATTGCGACCCACGAACTTGGCAACGTCCTACAAGATGTGACCGTGGCTAACGATGTGGTACGCTCCGGAGATATTGACACTCTGGAGWCATAACCTTGGAACTGCTTCGGAGACATTGACACACCGGAGACATAACCGCGCTCCGGAGACATTAATAAGCGCTCTATATACAAGCACCGTGAATGTCGTGATACTTAGTTCTCATTCTGCTCGCAATCGCGACCGTCCTCATTCTATCGACACTTGCAAGTTCCTAAACTGCTCTACCCTCACTGCCACCTTATTCTCTAAATCTCGCGCCAGATCCGCGCATGTTCTTTGACAGAATGCATTTGCAACGTCGGTTGTCTGGACGACAAGACGCAATTTGTGCAATGCGCCTTGCATGTCTGTGAGCCGCTTCATCACCAGCGCTTTCAGCATTAGACGTCGCTCGGCGCCGCGCACATTGTACGAGCCGCAACGCATCGCCACTTCGTTGCGGGCGAGGGCAGAGGAGATGCAACGGCCTGAGGGGGGAGAGGAGGTGGCGGTGCTCGACGATGATGTGATCCGAGGCGGTTGATGTGCGGACGATGACGCGGAGTCGGTTATGGTGGCACTAATGGCATTGGTCATCATTGGTCTGGTGCTCCATAGTGAGCCCATGCCCAGAGCGAGCGAGACGGCATTCATCGCCTCACAAAGAAGCAGCGCCGAGGAGAGTTTCGGCGCACATGCTTTGCAGTCCAGCACGTTGGTGCAGGATGCCAGTATGCACTTGGATCTCTGCACGGCCGCTGCAAAGAATGTGTTGTCATTGATGTCGATGCCCGGCCCGGTCGAGGCGGCTGGTTTCGCAGCGAGTACGTCAAGGAGATCCGCCGAACAAGTACATGAGGTCTTTGGACTTATGTCGCCGCTCGTAGGCTGTCCGCTTACGTCCGGGGCCAATTCCCAAAAGGGCAGCGGTATGTCTATCAAAGGCGAAGGGTAGTCCTCAGGATCCTCGGATGCGATGATATTGGATGGATCGCTCATCGACCAGTCAAACGTCAATGCCGAACCGACATCGAAGGGCAAGAAAAGATCCGCGCTCGTGATCTCGCCGCTGTCCATGCTGTTGCGAACACTGCTTGATGGCTGTGAAGTCTCGGAAATGTCTGAGTGCGGTTCCGGATTGGAGTATGAACCGGCATTGGAGTACGCAGGGTAGTATGCACTAGTGTTTGGTCGCGAGGTCTGGCCGTTCAAGTTTCTTGCAGGATTCCAACCGGTATGCAGGTCCCGCGGATGGACGACCGAAGTTGGTGAGACGGGAGTGCGTGGCTCAGGTGGAGCCATGTCAACGTCCATGCTCGTGAAGAGACTCAGGTCGTTGAGGAGCTGTTGCTGATCATAGTCTTCGGACGCTGGTGGTGTGTACAGGTTCACCCTAGGTTCGGCTGTTGCGGAAGATCCGGTATTGGTTACGTAGATGATGTCCACATCGTCGAAGTAGTCACTTGTTTGGGCGGTGTAAGAGGGAGAATAGCCAGCTGTGGAATCGTTCGAATGACTTCGACCGACGTCGGTACTGGGCCCAGCCACCGGCCTCGTTGGCATTGTGCCGTCCTCGACTCGCCTCGCCTGAGAATCTCTTCGATCCGTCTCATTCTTCTTGGGCCGTGGACGGCCAACTCGGCGGGACAAGCTGTATACACATTCAAGGTTCTGCTTAACGCATCGAGCGCACGCTGGGCGTTCCTGGCCACAGCCGATCTTGGAGGTCTGGCAGATATCGCATGACTTTCGTTCACGCGGAACTTTGGAAGAACGACGCTTGTCTGGCATAGTGACGGCTGTGATGATGGACTCTGGTATAGCCTCGAGCGGCATGCAATTATGACTGAAAAGGGTCGATCGGRGTGGATTGAGAGCTATGACCGACTTGAGGGAGTTGAGGAAGAGGCTGACCTCAAGTACGCCGGAACGCCTCAACTAACAGTGTTTTACAGAATCCGAGTTGTGCGGCGCCTACAGTTTGCACGAAGGATCCAGGATCGGCAGAAGCTGGACATGTCAAGTTCCTCAAACAGGATACAGCAGACCATCGATGCGATTCTCTGCCCTGAGCCACGCTATGCCATGCTCTGCCACGCTATGGAATGCAAGGCCCGCGCGTTCATCATGCCGCTTTGTTCCCGGACCACGTTTTTGAATTACAATCAAACGGTGGTCTCAGCGATCGGCAGCAGCRGTGCGTGATCATGGTGCATTAGGTGAATGTGCCAAGACCCGTGAGGAACTTCGTTCCTGCGTTCCGTGTCGTGTCGGGATTCAAATTTCTCGGAAAGCGAGGTCGAAGGGGCGTGTTCTGAGAAAGGAAGTTGGATCTGTGGCGAAACTCAATTCGAGATATGGGTCAACAACCCGACTCGCTCTGGGGAGAAGCCCCTACTTTCAATGATGGCTATCTACAACACTCAGGAAGCACTGCACAGAAAACGTKCCAACCAGGAGCAGAGCGAGTGGACTTGTTTCGTGAGCACTGATCGCTCATACAATGCTTGAGGACCCTTTCTCAATTCTGCGTTATACGCGGCTAGCTACCGTAAGAGCTATGGATCAAAACCGCACGAAGGAACAGCTCTTATCTGAGTGCACAACGGCCTCCACGCCGCGGGACCACAATGCTGCGTGCATGACTCAACTGCAATCACCTGCGATCATATCGCGGAGCTCCCGCTCCTCCTCCTCTGCCTACTCTGCTCCTTCAGATCCCTGCCGAAGATCTCCCGTCGGATGCCAAGTCCGGTGACAAGCGTGGACAGCTCCACAATGAACATGGACTTCATCTGGCAGAGCACACATATCGACTCAAGGCTTGCAATTGCTGAATCTGACCAGCGACAATGGCCCGACAGTCTCCATGCTCTAAAGGCTGGGTACTGCAGAGTGAAGCGAGGTGGCGTTCCAAAACGTCGAGTACCCCCGCAAAATGTGTAATCCGAAGGTCGATTAGCGCCTGACTTAGCGTCGCGGCATCTGCAGCATCCAGAGTGAGAGTATTTGCAAAGGTCCATGCATATGTATTGGGTTGGTGGATTGTGTTGGTGTTGGTGGCAGCGCCATCGTGATTGGATGCAGTGGATCCGATTCCGTTGGAGAGGCTGACGGAGTCTGGTGTTGAGAAGGCACGCCTGACCCATTGTACCACGCTTGTGGCTACGAAGGATAGGCTAATGAGGGAGAAGCGGCGATCACAGCACACGCTGCACTCGAGCAAGGTTCGACATCGCACTTCGGCCGACTCCAGGAGATCCAGTGAGGTGTGCATCTCGGGTGGTGAGCTGCGATCTTGGTCTTGTTTCTCGATTTGCATCAACAATTGCAGCACGCCCACCGTGCAATCGCACTCTGCGGCAGGGGTCGAATCGATCATTGGATCTTCACGATATGATTCTCGACATGAAGCTGGAAACTGTGGAGAAGTGTCGTTTGTGTGGCGGTGCGAAAACATTGAATGTGGCAATCATCCCTTGTTCGCGGGTTTGGACCCTCTATATATCCTTACTTGCGGGCTTTCTCTCCAACTCGCTCGAATCTTCCTGTTCATCAGCCAGTCTACATTCTAGAAGCTTTTTGGGCGCACTATGCCCGCCCATTGTTTGGGAGAGCTTTTGGCCGATGCATCCCGGGAACCGGTGTCCGTACGGTTTCATCCACTTTCGGTGATTGGACATCATCTACTTGTTCACCGAACTTGCACGTTTATCTCTGCTTCGAGTGGTATAGCCACATTTTGGGTTTCCACTGCCAAGAAGGCGCTATACGATAGCTCGCGGCCAAGTTCGTTTAGCATGACTTTGTTGTGATTCTGGCACGTGATCCACAGATAACTAAGGATCAGACGATATAGCCGCATCTTAGATGCAGAGTTTTCACCTATATGCTAATTAGTGTTATCTACGTACTTCGCCTTAATTTAGTAACAGCTTTATAACAGGTTATAAGCCCGGCGCTACTACGATCCTATCCTTACTAAGAAGTTATTAGCATTAATAATATTAACCCTATGCTTACTATTTTAATAGGGGAATCCTAGCGAGCTAAGAGAAGAGCTAGGATTAAAACATAATAGAGCTAGTTAAGACAGCTAAGAAGAATTAGGTGCTTAGGAAGGGTACTAACTTCTTAGGCTAAAAGGCAATGCTTAGAGGAGCACTAGTAAAAGAGGATGTACTTAGATATATCTTCTATAATCTTCCCTAGGAGCTACTATAACTAGAGCCCTAGAGGATTAACTACCCTAATATAGCTAATTATCTACTAGTATTAAGGGAGTTTAAGAAGAAGGATATAGTTACCTATAGCATTATCTATAGCCGGCTAGATAAAAAGCTTAGGCCTAATTTCGGAAGCACTAAGAAAATAGTATAGGAGCTATTTAAAACAATCCTTACTACATATTAACTAGTCGTTACTATAGACATCTATAATACTCTTAGGCAGATTAGGAGCATTAAACTAACGGGTAATAATACCCTAAAGTACTATAAAGACTTCTAAAGGTAGGTACATTAGTATAGGACAGCTACTAAGTAATATGCTAGAGCTAACCGTATTCCTAATACATAGGAGGGACTTATGTTCCTACCTCTTATTATAAACATGCTATTTATTATAGGTCTGAACTACATTAAGTAGCTTAGAAGCTAGCGACATACTAATAAACCCTAGTTAGTAATATTAGAGGATATAATTACCTCTCTTAGACGTAAGAAACCTCTAGCATTAAGCTACTAGCCTAATCCTTCCTAGAAACGAGTTATAGGAGGAGTAATAGCAGATATTAAAGACAATAATAAGAAATGCACTTAGTGCAAATATAACTACACTAATACAGAATATTATAAGTAACACCCTAATAAGGCACTATCGTCCTAGAAAGCTAGAAAGCCTAATAATAATAAGAAGAAGTAGTCCTAGAAGAAAAAATAGTAGAGGAGAGCTAATACTATAGTAGCTTAAGACTTATCTAGGTCCCTATTAGACTTAGATTCTAACAGCTTAATAAGCTGCAGTATCGTAATAGCTGCATCTTTAATAAAGCCTATTAATAGCTATATTAATATATAGGACTCTAGGACAGCATATTACTTCTTTAATAACAAAGCATAGTTTAAGGATCTCTACGAGAAAAAGAAACTAGCAGAGTTCTCCTAGGCTATTAGGAAGAACAGAGTTACGCATTTAGGAATAGTAACTCTCTAGCTAAAAGGCCTTAAAGGTCTTAAAACACAGCTAGAACTAAAGGGAGCTTTATACTCCCTAGGCTCTAATATAAACCTTATCTCTATAGAGCGGATTCTAGAGAAGTTTAGTATTATATATAACACTAGGACTAGAACTATCCTAGATAAGGATAATAAGCCTATTAGGAAGCTTTAAAAGCTCTATAGAGTGCTTATTCTAAAAGATGCAAAGATCCTTATCCTAGAGGGCTAATAGCCCCCCCTATTTAGAAAGACTATAGTTAAAAAAACTGCAGCAGCAGCTTTTGCAAAGCTAAAGGCTAATATAGAGCGTTAGCATTAGAGATTTAGCTATATTAGAGCCTTAATCCTTAACGCTATAAAGCTTAAGGCAACCGGACTAGAGAGTATTAATATAGATATAATAAGTTACTATAAAACATGCAAGCTCTTAAGATCCTAGCGAGTTGTATTAAGGCATCTAAGACCTATAGCGGCTAGAGCACTTAATAAAGTTTATATAGACATAGTAGGACTAATTAGCCTACTAGACATCTATAGGAACTATTAGAAAGTGCAGTTATAGAATAGCTGTACATCTAATATAACAGAGAGCTAAGTAGCTATAAGGTCACATAACTCTATATAGGGTAAAATCTCTTCTTAGGAGATAGAGACACATCTCTAGATAGAAAACAAAATCAACACATTAGTTCCTACTTTTAAGTACTGCCTATCGGAGACAGTAAGCTAGTTAAAGATTAAGATACTCTTTTACTCTACCCCTAAAAATCTGCGAACCTCCGACTAATATTTAACAGGTTATAAGCCCGGGTTTGCCGAAGGAAAAAGACCTTAACCTTAAAGTAGTAAAGGTTTCTCCTACCTTATAAAGCTAATATAGAAAGGACACTAGTTTCTAATACCCTATCTTATACTACTAGGAGTTTTAATAGCAGGTTAGATAAGAAGAAAACATAGAAGATAGATTAGTTCCTAAGGGTTTAGAACATTTAACTATTAGGACTAAGGGATTGTCTAATAGCTATAAGGAGTAGAGGACTCTAAATCTAAAGCCTTAAAACATATACACACCCTTTACTTTACTACTAAAGCCTTAGTAGGACTAAGCTATTTATATACTAAAATAGAGGAAGAGAAGGACAGTTAGACCTATATTAGAATTCTAATCCTAATAAGAGAGAACTAGAAAAGATAGTTTAAACTATAGAGGGACAACCTAGAAGGAAAAGGCATCTTCTATAACATTAAGGGATTAATTAACCTAGATAATTTATTACTCCTTAATCTAGATGCTAGGGTTRYAAGAATAGCTAGCTAGCTAAACTTYTAAAAGGAGAATGCTAAGTGCAGGTATAAGCTAAGATTAAGAGTTAGCTTAGATAAAGCAGATAAGATTTAATTATTAATAGATATAAAGATAGCTACTAAAATCTAGCTCTTCCTCTAGAAGAAGTATAGTAAGGTGCTTATAGTATATGCTATATTAATAGTATAATAATTTATAAACTTTAGAATAGGAGAGGAAGATATAGTAAGATTAGCCTAGGTATAGATTAGTTTAATAGCAAAGAG